CATGATGTAATGGCTTGCTAGCTGCTTCTTTTTCGTCATTTGAATAATTAGAAATATACGCACATTGCGGGGGTGTTAATGAGTTTTCAGGCTCCACCCCCTCGTCAAGATTCCTAGCATGCCTCATAGGCTCCTCCTTGTGGTTCCTCGAGGCTTTGTCCGGTCTTGACGAAGTTGATTCTACAACTGCAATGAGTGAATGATTTTCCTTGAGTTGACCGTTCTTCCAATCAATCTTTTCAAAATTTTGTCGTATCCAAGGCATTCCAAGAATTATGTCGTACTTGTCGCGCAATTCAGTGATTATGAAGGTGGTTGGTGTTGATTCAATGGAGTTGACACAGAGGTCAACAGTATGGGTGATTCTTGACTCGTGACCACTAAAACCAGTTACACTTCTGGTTTGAGGTAATGGGTCCGTCTTGAACTTGTTGGCAGAGACAAACCGGTGGCTCATTGCTTCATGTGTAGCACCGCTGTCTACTAAGGCTCTCGCAACAATGGGGGTGGCACTCTTAACTTCGAAAATAGTAACAAAATCAATGATTCGCGTATCTTTTATTTCAAGTGAATTTAAGCTACTACAATCTTCAGTTAAGTAATTACCGCTCGAGTGTGGCACCACTAGCACTCCCGAGCGCCTCCATTTTTTGAGGCTTCAGCTCTTCCATCGTCCTTCTCTTCTTCCTTGACACCATCCACTTCAGCAACTTTACTTTTGAATTTCCCATAACCTCCATATCCTCCTCTACCTCTCCAACCTCCTCTACCTCCACGTCTTTTTCTAGTTGGACAGTCTCTAATAAAATGATCATCTTTACCACAACTATAACACATTCCCATTGCTCCTCTCTTGTTATACTCCTCATTTGATATGTTAACACGATAAGCCGAACAATCCATTGCATCTGGATCAGTAATAGTGGTTGAGGTTGAAGTTGTGTTGGTCGAAACAATTGGGTGGTGCGTGTTGGAGTCTCTTTTATTAATTTCATTATCAAGTTTAATAGCTAACTTTGCCATTTCTTCAACTTCCTTGAATTCGTCCCGTACCATATGCACCGTGATTTCTTTCTTTAATCCTTGCTTAAATTGAGATAGTAATACATTCTCAGGCCATTTAACTATCAACGCTAATTCCGAAAACTTAATCCAATAATCTACCACTGCCTTTGTTTGAGTTAACGCCCTCATTTCTTTTTCTGCTTTAGCCAATCTTTCAGAGTCAAAGAACGTTGCTTTAAATGATTCAATGAATTTTTTCCAAGTAACTTGTTTCATTTTATCTTGGTCGAGTAGTTGATCGGTAAAATTTTGGCTCCAAATACTGGCTTTCCCATCAAGGTAAGATAACGCGAACACAACTTGAGCTTGTTCGTTCACAAATGCAGCAGCATTCATTTGCATATATAAGCAGACCTGATTAACATAAACTTCGGCTTTCTGTCCTTTAGTACCATCATATTTATTCGGAGTGGCGATCTTAGGAGGCTTTATTTGACTAATCGTTTGCGGAACAGAGGTCTGAGCGATCGGGGCGGAGCTGTGAGGTAGTTGAGTGGAGGTAGTGCGGGTTGTTTCAAATTGACGTAGTCGTTGTTCTGCTTCGTCACTTCTTCTCTCAGCTTCTTCTCGTTTCTGCAATTCTTCAGCTAAGCTTGCTTTGACCTCTAAGAATTGAGTGTTTAATTCTCTCATTTGCCGTAAAATCTCGGCCATAGAGGGCTGTTCGTGTTCTGGATTCATTGCGGTCTCTTCTGTCTCGTAGAATTCTTTTTCCGATGACTCCGAGTCCGTTGAGTTAGAGGGAAGCTTAAAGTTTGGCGTTTTGGAAGGATGCAGTGGTATTTGAGATTATGCGGGGTATAAGTTATCTTCTTTAAATGTTACTTCTGTGGTAATACTGAGTAATCAACTTTCTTCTAACTTTGCTTGCGGAGTGCAGATTAAGTTTATACTTTTAATTTAACTTTATTAACTTTGAAAATCTTTCTTCTTAACTTCTTTTAACTTTCTTCTTAATCGTTCGTTTTGATTTCTTCTTACTTTCGGTGATTCTTCTCTTGGATCTCTTTTGATGAGACTTAGCAATATGTTGTAGCTTCGAGAGGGAGATGCAAGAGAAGCTTTAAGAGTGGTCTCGTGAATATAGTAGATTGCTAAGTGAGGAAAAGCAATATGCACAACGGGAGACAAGACTAGTATGAACTCTACATGTAACACGCGTGACAGGTCATAACAATGTGTACACTTTCTATTTTTCTCATTTGGCTATCTATGGTATAGAAAAAGAGTGAGTTCTCCTACGGTTTTCATCTCTATATACTTCTGGTTTCATTTCTTCTTATTTTATCCAATTACATATTGACTTCTTGTAAGGTTTGTTATACCTTCACTAGCTTCACACAAAGAGGGCGCCGTGGAACACAGAGCGGGACAGGTTTCTAGAACCCGTGAGACTTATTATTTCAAATCTATCACAACACAGTACGTAAGACTGGTTCCAAAGGATAAGGGGTAGGAAGTCAGTCCCAAATTGCTTTGACACTATACAAGTAATATAATAAAGAAATGAATAAGAATGAAATGAATAAACACTTACCTGGTTTCGAAGGATAAGGGGTAGGAAGTCAGTCCCAAATCTTACACTTCTTCATCTTTGTCATCTCACCTTTTATCTCATCTGTTATTATGTTAACACTATTTCCATTGTGGAGGCCTTACCTGTCATATTATTTCTTTATTATACTAGCTTGACTTGAACCTTTAGGTCAGATTATATCTTTTAACCACCATGTCTGTGTGGTGTTTGCGTGTCGACAAGTGCACATGGGCCGCCTTTGTGCCTCAAAGGCAGTCCGTGTGCGCTCGTCATCAAGAGACTGCCACAAGGACACAGTGAACAATCTTATATCTTGTATTTCTTCTAAGTCTTTCTACTTCTTTGACCATATGTCTTGTCTCAGATCTGCAGGTTAGTCAAGTATTTTAGGCGAGGAGTGATAGGAGGCTCACATCTAGATTTCTCATTGAGATACCAGGTGAAACTTGTCCATCTATCTTGAAATAATTTGATGCAGATCCGAAAATCTACGCAATAGAGCAGAAGACAACTTGGACAGACAGGTGTATGATGTGAGCTGTATGATAAGACTCAAATAGAAAAATGAACACTGGGTGGAAGTGATCAACGCGTTACTGGCAGAAGTGCAGGGGAGTAAGAGAACAAAAAGAATCTTGAGCAATCAATTCCTAATGGTCAAAACTAACTAAAAAGATAAATGAAAAACAATAACAAGTAGCACTATTTACCTGGACAGGTGTATGATGTCAGCTCTATGATAAGACTCAAATAGACAAATGAACACTGGGCATAAGAGATCAACGCCTTACCTGCAGAAGTGCAGGGAGTAAGAGAACAAAAAGAAATATTTGAGACACATGTGAGCGCTATCCAGGGAACAGTGATGAAGAGGAGAGAAGTGAAAGAGCTTACTCTTGAGCAATCAATTCCTAACGGTGAGGAAGGAAGTGAGAGCTCGAGAGTGGCTGGGTATACCATATAAGAGTAAACTGAGCGCAAGGTACAGACACAAGAAAAATTCTGACAAGGGGTTTGGAACAAGTGAATGCACACAAAAGTGTATAGCTATCCTCAAAGAGGAAAAAATTGAAACCCATCATTCCATCTACATTCCACACACTATTCCTGATTTGGATACCACATCTCCTCATTCATCAACCACATGAAACCAGTCCTTGAACACCAATCTTGACTTCAACTTCTGAATTACAGACACTCACACACACCTTGAGTCATCACATACACACACTACTAATGACTGTAAATGACTTGAAAATGATCACAATCTTTTTACCACAACATATCTACATAGGAACAGAATATATTGCTGAGACCATACACATCAAATTATTTTCTTCATTATGATATCTTGACTTGAACTATTAGGTTGGTCAAGTAGTTTAATAGGTGATACAAGACTCACCTCTAGATTTGTCCTTGGGATACCAGGAAATATTTGGCAGACATGTTTCACAGGGGCCACACTTGATGCACACATACAGGTGAGAATTGTACACTTTCCTGGACTGTCCGAAAAAGATTGTCTTTCTTTCAGATTCCTTCAATTGACAATTTTGATCTCAGGTGATCAGGCTGTTTTTCTCAAATTTTGCTGTACTTTTCTGGATAATGCTCATTTCCATCTTGGATGAGCATTCTTTGAGATCAGCCTCCCAGATGAGTACTCAGAATCAGTCCATGAGTCATTGCATACTCACAACATCTCAGAACCTTGTCCAAAATCCCGGATCAGCGGGCTCCAAGGCATACCACTGAGGATCAGCTGAGGGGCTGAGATGACGTGGGCAGATGAGCCAGCACTCCCTCAAACTTTTCTGCTAAGGCATGAAGCCTCACAAATGCTTAGTTCATCCTCTCAGTTCCTGTTGATAATGTAATCAGCTGACAAGTAGGAAAAAAACAGGAAGAAAAGGGAAAGAATTTGGAAGTAAAATTGAACAAATGTTGAAAAAAAAAAAAAAATTCAATGCTCACCTCAATGCACCTGTACGTAGTTAAAACCTCCGACTGTATTGGTTGAATATGTACTCGCTATCAACCTATGTAGTCCGAAAACCCGGCTTTAGAAATCTTTAGCTGAGTATTCGCCGCTAGGCCAAATTCGAAATCCCTCTAAGTCCCCATACCATCAAGGTAGTACCCTTGATATATTACAACCCTTACAAATAATCTCACCACCACACCATATGTATTACAAACCTTACAAGTCATGTTACCACCACAATGGCAAGGGTTAACTATTTCACCAGCTAAACTAATAAGTTACCACCTCACCTAATCTTTCACCACCTACATAGAATATCTTACCAGTATTAATCAAAATTTCACCAATCTCCACATCTAAGATAATATTTCACAACTTATACATCTACTCTCACCACCTCAGCTGATATTCCACCACGTAAGATTTTCAACTTCAATAGGCAATTTCACAATCCCAATGTGCAGTCATCTACATCTAACCAGTGCCATCCCACCACCTGTGGTCAAATATAACTTTCCACACCACAATACGTTGCAATTTCAGCAACTCATCCTACCACCTCAACTATAACCTCAATTCTGGTCCATATACAACAAACCCCATCAACTCGTTACGTCCTCCCACCCCTCTGTGATTTAACATTTCAACATCGACAACAACCCTCTCTTTCGTCACGTTTCACTTACTTACCACCACCACCTTTCAACAACTTACCTCACGAACACATTACCCGGTTAATCCAAACTGCTCAAACTCACCTAGTTAATCAGCAATGCGGCCAGGTCTACGTAGTAACGAGCCACCAGATGGAACTGAAGCTGAGTCAAAGTTTTCCTACTCCAGCCCAGATTTGGAAGAAGAGTACCACCCCCCTGCTAAACGGCGAGGCCAAACTGCAAAGCGAGGCCAAACTCGAGGTGCAAAGCGAGGTGGCCATGCGGGATCCCCAGTTGGACGTGAACAGCGAGCCCAACGAGACGAACAACAAGTGCCTTCCGACGATGATCATCAATTACCAGACGCCAAAATCGAATTCGAACTTGATTCCGGCGAAAATGTCATTCTTCCCAATATCTACAACTTCCACGAATTAGGTGTCGAGTGGGGACGCGGCCGTGCGGACGAAGTATTAGCTAGCCTCTCGCTTCCTAAGAACAACAGGCCCTCTTCAAACGGACTTTTCGAAGCTCAAGCACTACAATCTGCTTATCAATTGGACAAGACCATGTTGTGTATAGTATTGAAATGTAGCAGACACGTCCTGGATGAGGCCTTGTAAGTTGAATCACATTAAACCTCCTTGTCCTCAGTTTTTGTGCAGACAATTTGCCCAACCTTTCTTTGTTAGATTGGAAGGGCCACTGGCGCGCGAACCAAACGCATACACCAATTATCAAACATATAGTGTTGCATCCACTACCACCAAGAGTAAGTCCAATCCACCTCTCATTCTCCGGAGTAAGCCCCCTTCTGATACCTTCATTAAATCCTATTTGATCCGTAGTACCCCCAAAGGGCGTTTCGGAAGGCTTTCCCAAACGTAATGTCATTGTTGGCAATACCTGGTCTACGTTTCAAGAAGAGGAAAAGCGAATATTCAGCCCGGACATATTCGAACGACTCTGCGTTACCACTAGCGAGGCATACGCTCTCACACAAACACCCAGAGGCATAGCACCCATGACCCTTGAAGCTCCTTCCGAAGTCACAGTTCAAAATAAATCTGATCTCAAACCTCTCACCGACGATGAGCTCACAAGATATGTTCCAATTTTCAAGGAGTTGGTCAATTTAAGCAAAGTATCGGGCGATCTGCGTGAAGGACGGCTATGGCGACATAGCGGGAAGTCTCGCAGCAAGACTCGCGAACAACTCATGAAGCTTGAAATCACCAAAGTGGTAAGGCAGGTGAGTCATTCAGCACTATATTACAAATTGAGTTTTAGAGCAGTCACACATAGAAGACTAATGGGTCTGATCCATGTATAACCAAATCCAGCTACATATTTTGAATACTCAGCTAAACGTACATTTTCCCCTGCTAGTAGCGTGCTGGAACCCGACTACATCAACAAATCAAGCGCTCTTTCAGGACGAGCATACATCATGCAAAAGGTGGGCTCTAATGGAAAAAAAGGTACACCTCCTGGAGCGTTTTTCATTCGAAGCAACTAAGGCTCCGGAGCACCTCCGTGTGAAGCCAGGCCTTCCTAAAACTCAGTCGGAAGCTGGAGCACGACAAGCACTTAAACGCAGTGAGCTGACAAAAGCGCTCAATTCCTTGATAAGTGAGTTCCAGAATATCTATCCTCAATCATATCCATTTTTGATTTTTCTCCACTGCAAACCTTTATTTGTCTTTTGTCTTCAGCTCCTTTCCTCCAAGGTGGTGTTAACATCTTGGCCGATGCCCATCCGAAAGTCCCCAACTTGAAGGAAGGATTCGCCAAGAAATCATTTCGCGGGCAAGTGAAACTGATGTTCCACCGCACTCCAGACAGCTTAGTCAGTGATGTAATGATTGCCAAGGGACCTAGCGCTTTATCCAACGACGAAGTACAGATTTGGCTGGACGACATCCATGCTAAGAGATACACAATCATTCAGGTCAAAAACGATCGTAAGAAAGGCAAGAATAAAGCGGAAGATAACCTCACCAAAGACGAAAAAGAACTCGACGACAACGACCAAGCTTAAATACAGACATGTTAAATTGAAAATACGGAAGATCAACTGCTAGAAGTATTTCATGAAACTCTCCATTATCTTCACCTTGAATGCTCTCAATAGCCTGCTCGGGTTGGGTACTGTTGTCTTCAATCCTTTGTTTTTATTCATCAGCCAAGATTACTAAAAATTGAGGAAATACATTCATAAGCTTGGGTTGCTTCCATATTTCTTAAACGTATGTATCTTGAAGTGCAAGATTTGTCAGTTCCAACTTGGAGGTGACATAAGAACATCAAAGAAATACGAGATGTTCCAAATAACTTGACCATATATCCAATAGTTTTATTGTGTTCTCCCATATGATACACCACAGTAAGCTGAGACTAGCCAGGTACCGCCTGCATCTAGTGTCAGACAGGCCAGACAGGCCATAAGATATGAGTGGTCTCGGGTATCACATCAGATTTGATTTGATACCCGGATTTGATATCAACATCCAAAAAACAAAAAGCCCCGCGTACACCAGGCGGGGCCGCGAACCAGCTGGTTCTTCTGCATCAGGCTTGCCATGCTCGATTTGGCGGTCCGAAATTGCTTTGGAGTCCGGACCTTGACGTACTAGCCAACTGCTGCAATGGTCGCCGCAGTGACCAAAACCTGCCCAAAACTGGTCAGAAACCTCTGATTTTTCTCATTTGGCCCTGAAACCAAGACAAAAAGAAAACTCTGTCGGATCCTGAACCCGGCCAATTTGAAATTTTCCCTTAATCTCACTTTGCCGCTTTTACATTCTCTTCATCCTCCAGCATCCGATCCATTCAAATCGAAATCACCGATTCATCCTTCTATCGTTTATTCATTCAAGCCTTCTGCTATCAAATCCTATTTCGGCACCACATTGATGGTTCCTTCAATATTTTTCAACTATTCAACTATTCGATACAAAATTGACGGGTATGCACTACTTGTTTTTCATTCACTCCTTTTGATTTTAAAAAACCTCCTTATCCACACAGCCTCATTAATAGCCATTTGATTCTGTTTTTCTAAACTTGCTAGATGATATAAACTCACCAAACGACTTCTGTTTTGTTCGCTCCTTGCCCATCCTTCTTTAATTTTATTTATCATTTGAACCACAGCTTTCTTCATATCATACTCACTTCAAAGTATGTAGTATCGTTCTTGATGGCAAACATATTCAGCTGTTGATAGACACTTTCTTTGTCCAGTCTGTCTAGATCCTGGAGTTCACAACTCGAACCGAAGTTGAACGAATCTACATATAGCCAATTCTAATGCAACGCTTATCCATTGTAAGAGTCTCATATTCTTGCGCGCCAAAATCCAGTTTCATTCCTCCCAATTCAAAATCTGGATGCTGATAGGGTGAGTATCTGTGGTGGTTGCAGGGACAACCCGCTTGAAAGGTTTGAATATGTTTTGTTTTGTTTCCTTTCAACAACAGATCGACCGACCTCACATCAGCAATTTTGGCTTGTCAATAACCCTGTTCCGGCACAGATTGGCCAGCATAGGTCTAGTCGCTTGACTGGTGCAAGCGACGAAGACGTTTGTGGCCTCTTGATTGATCAAGCTGGTGTTGCAAATCATGAGGTCGAAAAACTGGCCAGCAAAGGTCTAGTCGCTTGACTGGTGCAAACGACGAAGACCTTTGTGGCTTCTTGATTGGTCAAACTGGTGTTGCCAATCATGAGGTCGAAAAACTGGTCAGCAAAGGTCCAGTCGCTTGACTGGTGCAAGCGACGAAGACCTTTGTGGCTTCTTGATTGGTCAACCTGGTGTGGTCAATCATGAGGTCGGTGACGATTGATGTCTACTCTCTTTGAGACTCAACAACCACCTTACGCTCTAGTCAAATCAACTCAAACTGAACACTAGATTCGACAATCAATCCACAAGATTTAACCTTGTGGAAACATTTATTCTCTACACTCTATGGACGGACTTGTGGAGTAAGTCATGATTCTTTACAAGTTTATTATTTAAAAACAAAGTCACTGGGATTAAAAACCTTGAATTCAATTTGAATAGGAAATTGGCTCCCTTTTACTTACAAGGGGACGTATACTATCATTAAGTTTGGTGAAATTATACTTACTAACTTCGCATTCGATCCAATCAGCACTTATCCCCTTATTCCAACAAAAGTCGGTCGGTTCCCTCTCGAATCCATTCTTGAAGACAGACTTTGATTCTGACAAAAAAAAGTTACTTTATTTTGTTATATCATGGTTGTGTTTGTCATTCAGAAACTTATGTGCAAGCGCGTCAACTGTTGGCTAGAATTTGATTTGAAAATCAATTACAATTGTTGATGAATTGGTTAGTATTGAATCAAGTTCATTTGATAAATTTGTTTTAGAAAACGTAAAGATCGTAATTGGTCAACTCATCGCTTCACTTTTATCCAATACGAATTCCAATTCAAATTCAATAATATCGGATTAAAAATCACATGATCAATAGGTGAAAAGCAAAAGTTTGAAAAGTTAGTCTTCCAATTTATTTCATGAACTAAATGGTTCTTTAGTCTAAATTGATCTTTCCACTTTTGTTATTTGTTTCGGGGGTTTTCTTCTTTGATGTTTGATTGGCTGTTCATTTCTAAGAGATTCATATCATTCGATCCAACGTCTTAAACTTACTATCTGAATGTATCTTGAAACATTCTCAACCTTCACACTCAATTGCATCACCTAGACTTAGAACTCGCATTGGAAAAACGTCAGTACCCCATCTTCCTTATCTCTATATCTCCTTCAACTACAAGATTCAATCAACTTATGTTCTTTCTTTCCATTGACATAAATGACCAGCGATATTCAAGGTATATCAACACCTAACGATTTGAGAGCCGCAAAAGAACATGTAGTAGATACAGTGGTGGTAGATTTGATGAAATATGTGACTTTGATCTTGTAAGTTGACGTTGGTTTTTAACAGTTGACTAATTATGAGATAATCAAAGCCTAATCAAGGCGAAAATGCTTACTATGTTCAGAAAAAAAACAAGATGAAAATTGAGAGGACTTGATCTTAGATAGATTCATTACCTTCAGCAAAACCATCTAAGTAAGAAGTTAGGAAGAAAAATTTTCAAACTAGTATCTGATAACTGGTATTCAAATCCCTTTGTTTTTTTGTCCTCTTAGTCCAAATTCTCCATCCTGAATGGCTGTTATCTTTGATTTGTGTTGTAATTCTATTTCTCGCTTTCTAATTTTGATAAATTACATTTATCTTCAATAATTAAAAAAGGCATCAAATACTGTTTTTTAAAAACACGAAGAAAAACTTTTCTGGTTTGAAAAACATTTCTGGTTTGAAAAGTTTGTCAAAAACTTTGTTAAAAGACTTTTTTGAGGTTTTTTACAAAAGTGTGCAACTTTCATTCAAATTTTAATAAACTAGATTTATCTTCAATAATGAAGTTATACTATCTGAAGACCTTGTGAGGCATAATCCAAATTCAATAGTACTATGACTCACTTTGGGATTGTGGAAGTAGAAGTGATCTTAGTCAGTCATAGGGGTCTTCACATATTGATGACGACGGTTTTTGTAGATGGAAACAATTTGGATTTGTTCCATCTTTGTATCATGTAAAACCTTTGATGTTGTTGCACGTGTATCTATTGATATGTTCTTCAGATTGATATGTTCTTTAGATAGTATATATACCCTAGAATTCTGTTCTAATCCGTTGAAATCTATGCATCTAATACTATTGCTGCATAGAATCTTTATACCACCCTTAATGTGATCATTGTGACTGATTAACTTTTGTGTTTCTCAAAGTTTAAATTAATATAAATGCTTCGATTGCAGTGGAACATGATTGACATTTGAATGAGAAAGTTAGGACAGTGATGTGGAAGAAACTTTGATCATAACCTGGGTGTAATTAATACTGGGGCCTTCTTGCATGAGCGCTTTGATGGGCTCATAGAAGGAGGGGTTCTAATCGGACTAAAATAACTCATGAACATTGAAATCAATCGTAAAAAGATGGAATAACCTATCTCCAACGCATGCAAACGCCCGGGAATGAGTGGAAAACTTTGAGAGGAATAATTCAAGTCATCAATCTGTTCATGAGGTATTTTCTAAGTTTGACAGGAAACATGCAACCAACCAAACAATAAATGTTTGACTTGTAATGATCAACAACAGTTCAACTAATGATGTTCACCAACATCATTTACTCCGATCAGCAAGTTTTGCTAACTTCAAGAAGTGAGCCTTTCTTGATTGAGAATGATCCCAACTTGTTTATTATTAACCGCAATACCACTCATTCATAAATCACGTCAGGCAATCCACTTATCAAATAATAACCTCGAGGAAGTCACCTATCAAATCCCGCATCGAAGAACACCAACAATCAACACACGTTGGTGTAAGGAAGGGCTTGTGCAAAAAGCACGAGACCATTCAACCATCAAATCATATCACTTTAAATGCTCCTCTGAGCATCCATCCTTTCTTCCGACTGACTCTGACTCACCCGCATGAAACAGCACCAACAACCGACACGTGCAGTAAGAAGGGTTTGAGCAAGGACTGGAGCAATATCCACGAGGCCATTCAATCATGATTCAGATCACTTTAGATGCTTCTCTGATGAGCACTCATCCTTTCGCTTTTGACTTACTCTGACTCAATGATCAAACTGTTTAGGTCGGCCAAAGTTCCTTTGGCCATCAAGTACTTTATTCTTCCGGTGCAGTGTTCTCCAATGTGATCTGACGCATATTCATCAAGTGTCGAATTAGGCAGGTTATAATAATTATCCAATAGCATCGCCGAGACCTCACACTTATATTAATTATTCAATAGCATCTCGCCAAGACGAATAACACACCAACACTCGTAGCAAGAATCATTGAATATTATCACTTACAATATTAGCACTTCAACTCCACTGACGAGCGAAATGCCCACTTATTAATTATTCAATAGCATCTCGCCTATCCAATAGCATCGCCGAGACCTCACACTTATATTAATTATTCAATAGCATCTCGCCCAGACGAATAACACACCAACACTCGTAGCAAGAATCATTGAATATTATCACTTACAATATTAGCATTTCAACTCTCCTGACGAGCGAAAAGCCCACTTAATAATTATTCGATACCATCTCGCCCAGACGAATAACACACCAACACTCGTAGCAAGAATCATTGAATATTATCACTTACAATATTAGCATTTCAACTCTCCTGACGAGCGAAAAGCCCACTTAATAATTATTCGATACCATCTCGCCCAGACGAATAACACACCAACACTCGTAGCAAGAATCATTGAATATTATCACTTACAATATTAGCATTTCAACTCTCCTGACGAGCGAAAAGCCCACTTATTAATTATTCAATAGCATCTTGCCAAGACGAATAACACACCAACACTTGTAGCAAGAATCATGAAATCATATCAATTACAATATTACCTGCCCAACTCCAACTTTGAGCGAAAAGCCCCACACCGTTGAGTAAAAAGCCCCACCTAGTTATGCTCATCAGACTCTTTCGATTACACCACATGGACATCATTCTTGCATTCAAATCGAATCAATTGGTCTTACTTATCGTGACCAATAAGTAAGACCAATTGATTCGAGGCCAACACTGTTCTCATAGCGTGCATGCATGGTGAGTTGAGTGTAGATAGTTTTATAGATGGAGTAATTTTTATTGACTGACCCAGCAAACGCAACACCTTTCTTCAAAAAAAACTTATGTATGTCATAAAGACAATAATCGCTTGCGAGTTCCTGTGTTCATTATCCGGCGCATTCTGATCCGCCTGGCCCTACGTGTATCAAGACATCACGGATCCCGGTGCTTTTCAAATCTGGTGGCCGACACGTAATTAAGATGTTATCCAATTCACTGAGGTAGGTCAACTTTCCAAAGAATTTTTGACTTACCTAAACACATTGATATACTCGCCATTGCTAAATCAAATACTGACCTTCGATTTAATTGCTTCATCATCATCATGGCTCCCCTTCGCATCATTCACGGCTTGAAAAGTCGGTCGAAACAGCCTAAGGCTGTGACACCTCGACAACAAGAGCTAGTCAAACAACTTAAACGAGATCTTGAACGCTCTGAAAAGGCCAATGCCAAATTGCAGGAAAGACTGGCTCAGCGAGCCAGATATCACTCACCTCCACCCGGTTACGACGGGCCTAACCCAGACGATATACCAGGACCTCCCCAATTTGATGACCAAGCAGGATCCGATAATGAAGACAAACGCGAAGGAGACTATGTGATAGACCCTGATCATTTCATGCCCTGGCAAGAGGCCAATCATGCTAATGACGCTGTACTCGCTGGTTTACGACGTGAACAACATCTCGGCAATCGTCTGAAACACGAGACTCGATGGGCATGGCAATATGCAATCATGCTACCCACCTTCCTCCGGTGTCGTCTGGAGACTTCCAACTGGGGTAACCCAAGGAGATGGAATCATGACTTTTGGGGGCCATGCAACTGTCCCAAAAAGACAGAGCGTGATGTCGACCTGGTAGATGTACTGAGTTAGTTCAATACCCGCCTTTCCAAAGTAATAAATGACTGACTTGAAATGAATTCCATGTATCAGGTAGAGAACGCGTCAAGATATCTTTCTGTAGCCGGTGTGACCCGTCTGATATGGTCCGGCTGTTGCTTATGGGCTATATTGGTGCGTCACCAGTGCGTCCCCAAACGGTGTTCTCTGTCAGACTGCTGGTGCTTCATCATGCAATGTGGCTGCAATGTGCGGTACCCACCAAAGGCTTCTGCGAGGGGTTGGATGACTTCCTGGACTCGTTCAGCCCACTGATACTGACATCGAAGAGTCTACAAGTAAGTCATCAGCGACCATCCAAACCTCCCAGTTAAAGATAGTGAGTACTGATGTTTCTACCCAGCCTAGAGATTGGCGCGAGCCATTCACACAGGCAGTAGACGCATACCGGGCCATTCTTCTCCAAATCCAAACGCTTGAGATTCAAAAGCTGAAACTTTCCGATCTTGGAGTCCTCGCCACCAACTGCCCAAAGTGTTTTGGGCCTCCAGTCGGTGTTACCAGGCCCGAGGAACCTGACGTGGTCATATGTATCGATGGAAATTTCCAGCATCGCCGCCACGCAGCTGCTAGTGTAGAAATCCCTGGGTCTCAGCCTGCTCGACCTGATATCTTCTTGAATTCGAGTGCAGTCAACAACATGGCTCGCGTAGTGAATGTCACAAAACCAAAGGATGATGAAGTGGTTAGTCACTTTGTAACCCTCTTTACGATCTCGAACTCAATTGCCATTATGAAAACAGGATCAGTGTACTGAAGCACACACAACAGCAGATGATACCAGAGGCAAAAGCTACTTCAAATCAATGGATGAGTCGGGCTTGCTTGGCATGGCGTGTCGCCATGATCATGTATTGAAATACATCAACCTGATTCAGAGTGGCGAGAAGTATAGTATTTCATTACCTGCAATTGTATCGTAACTTACTAATTCATATGTTTGTACTTTGTAGAATTCATTATCCGCTGGCTATGATAAAGTGGCTACTTGATCTTCTATCTAGAAACCGGGATCACTCCAATAAAGTTGGTATTCTATACGACATTGGGTGCAATCTGGATAAATCAATAAAGAAGGTATGTCCACAGTGGTCCAACAGGCTGATTATCTTGACATCAGGCCGACATACTTCAATGTTTTGGCGGAGCGTCAAAGAGGGAATTATTTCCTGAAGAGCGACTAGCGAATCGATTGAAGATTGGCACCGCTTTATTTCATTCTTATGCACATAGCTGGGGGTGTCAGCTGGAGTATAACCCTCGCTTCATAGCGGGGTGGGGTAAGTCTAATGGCGAAGGTCTTGAAAGGGTGTGGTTCAAGAACTCCAAGTTGATCAAGCCAAATCGGTATGCGACAAAACAGCGGCGCTTAGTAAGTCTTGATCTATGGACGTCACATCAAAATATCATGCAAAGAGACCGAGCTGGTGCGATTATATCCCTTCACAAAAGGAGTATTTGAAACAGTCTGACCCCATTACCTCTCAAAACATCTAGTATCGTACATGGTAACACAAACCGCAAAGTATAAGGCTGAGCTTATTCTTGCACAGTTGACGTTGGAAAGGCTTGTCCAGGTTGATGAAACTCATACCAAACAATATTTCGAGGTCCAGTGGAATCGGCAGCAGGAGATGCAACTGAGAGCCATCAGTGTGAGAGTTAAAGAGAAACGCGAAAGACTTAAGGTGATGTTACAGTTAGAGGAGAATATGATTGAGGCTCGGTAAGTAATATCCATCATCAAAAACTGACTGTATCAATATCAAGATGACAGCTTGACCATGCGTCCACTATTTTTCTAATGTAAGTTTAGTCAGAAGATGGCGGAGCTTGATGCCATCCACGCTCCAATCAGGACGCAACAACAACGTGATGACCTGCTGAATCTGCCGACATCTCTGGCGAATTTGGAGATCAAGATTCAAGACCTTGCAGAAGAATTGGGGAACACTCAGCTTGTGAATGCCCGTCGGGGTGATGGTTTGTATGCTTTGTTTATATGTACTTTGGACTCTGGCATTGATATTGTTTGTTATGGCTGTTTAGATGCACAAATTAAGGCAGTTCTCGCTGTGCAGGTGGCCTTAGCGATGTTGTATGAAGCGAAGTTTGGTGTATTACAGCAAGAAGCTGATGCTGAGATGAGGACTGGTGAGTTTGACCACCTTTTTTAATATAAACTTGAGTTTGTTCCACTGAGTGACCCAAAAACTTCAGGGGCAAAGCAGCAGCCTCGTAATGCTGAGCTCCGGGCCAAGAAACAAGGACTTTTAAGGAAAAAGACTGCGACCTATCTACGACATGCAGCTAAGTATAACAATCGATTCCAACCAGCTCAGAGACTACTCGAACCCACATTCGAGGAGGTGCTTGGAATGGATATCCTCGATCCGTTCTGGAACGAGGGAGCATTGGAACACCCGGATGAGCCATGGGCTAGTTGCCAGAGAACCAAAGAAGGAATCTTGGCGTTTCGTAGCGAGAGATCATGTGAAGAGGAATTGCGAACTTTGGGGCGCGAGGTGAGACAGCTTATGCTGTGGGGGCTTGACTATCAAGCCCGAGTTATTGGAGCAAAGCCAAACGCTGCTGAAAGTGAGCATTTGATTCCCTTACCCTTAATGCCCTATGAACATTATTGACATGAGTTCTTGATCTCCAGGTAACAATCGTCTTGTCGAATGGGAGTCTCTGTACAGCGGACTGGCAAAACGCACCTGTTGGCTCTGGAAGCGATGGGATCACCATGGGGTGGTGGAAGTATTGCATTCAACCTCTCAATTCGTGGAGGGTAGTGATGAGCTGGATGTCAATTTAAGACAGCAGTGGGCTGATATGGTAGTTCATACAAGGGCCCAGTGGGAAGTCATACTTGGGGCGGGTATTTATGTTGTAGAGGAGGAAAACAACGTGGAGGATTTTGATGAGGAGGATTTTGATGAGTATTATTGATTAAATATCTGATTTCTGTGTCACATTTGTAATGTTCAGTATCTTTTCTTTCCGAGTTTGGTCTTGTACTTTGAAATGAATGAGGGCAAGTTCTCATCATTGAATAAAAGCTCACAATCAAAGATCTTTCATTCTTCAACACTATGATCTATCTATTTAAGTGGAAGACTGTAAGCTCTAGATATTTTGTTAGTATTTATTATCAATAAGGGTACTCAAAGTAAGTATGTACGTGTACATACTTTTTGCTATATACTTTTTTTGGCGGGGAAGGCGAGGCCAAAAGTATATTTTTTTTCTTTGTCCCCGCCAAAAAAAGTATGTAGCGAAAAGTATGTAGCGCTACATACTTTGCTTTGAGTACCCTTAATAATCAAAGGTTACAATGTTTCATCTATAATCTTTGGAGGACAAAATGACAACTTTTTATTTTAGTATTTTCAACAACAAACAAAATGTTCAAATGGTTTTCATGTATACAATTTTTTTTGGGGAAAGACAAGTTGTTAAATACAAATTTATAAGAACACTTTTGTAAAAAGATACTTCAAAAAAAATTTTGATGTTGATTTTGACAAACTTTTCTATCCAGAAAAGTTTTTATTTAGTTTTTTAAAAAACAGTATTTGATTAATTTGGTCATAATCAATTTTTCATGTATACTATATTGTAATGACAAGTGTTTAACATCCAAAGAATTCATGTTGCCAAGTAAGAAAAGTATTTCAAAAAAAATGATTGGACTTAAAACATTAAGGTAATTTAAAAAACCATTGAAATAAGAGATGTATTTGTAGTACTAACAAATGTCAAGCTATTTTTTTGATGATTGAAAGCATTCAATTTCCAGTTACCAAGTCGGGAAAAAAAACTTATAATTGTCATTAAGACACATTAAGACATTAATCCATATCAATCTATTGTAATAGGAGTTACTCGTTTACGCCTTTTCGACTTGCGTGTAGCATTCTGTTGTTTCAAGATGTTTGCATGTTTTTCAATCATTGGTGCCCACCTGTTCAACCAGGGTGTGGCGACGTCACTGTGCCATCGGCTCCAAAAAGGGCAAAGGTGGGATATCGGAAGGTTTGGAAGCGTATAATCCAGAGTTAGCGAACAAAAATGGTCGTTGTGGAAGGCAAGCACGATCGGTGGGTTTTCGTTTGGTGGTGTCAGGTAGGGAAATGTGAGGAGACAAGAGGCGCCGGGGTGATAATATATAACAGGTCGGTCAAAAGTTGTTGCGATGACACCTCCAAAACCTGGCATGCTCAGCCAGTGTTCTGGCTCGAGCACCACATTTGGTTTGCAGGTACGAAGTGAGGCTAGCACGTCCAATCGGGCCGCATGTAGGTTCGAATCCTGAAATGTGTCCGGATGCTGTTCAAGAGTTGCCTCCATGCTCTGGCGTACATAAAGCCAATCATCTTGTGGTCGGCCAAGTGCTACAGCAATTGCTCAAAAGCCGCAATGACCGTCAGCCTTGACTTCATGGATGTCGCTCACGAATGGTGCAAGCCACGTGTGAATCTTGTATTTTGTCAAAAGGGCTGGGAGTGTAGGGTTAGTCGGGGGCTTCAGCGTAAGGGCACATTGACGAGTTTGCCGTCGTGTGATAATTTGATTGATGGGAGGAATGCGTTTGAGATGTGCGGTAGAACTAGAGGCAATAGGGGAGGTGATACTCGATTTCTGAGATTTGGGTTCAAGGTCAGGTCAGGTCAGTTCAGGTCAAGTCAGGTGTCACGTACTTTTATCTAACTTGTATGGATCTGTTTGCTTACCTCTGTTTCCTCTGTTTCATATGTGAGTGATTCGTTAGTAGTTTTGATTGGCGAATCTTGGTCATCTGCATTAATTTCTTGTGGTTGGGGTGGTTTGACTGGGGAGGGCGGAATTAGATCCATGGCAACTTGAATGTGAGAGTTTTCCTGCGAGTCCGATTCGTGGTCGGAGAGAGGCACTATGAATGAGTCAAACATTTGATCAATATGCGAAAATTGTGACAAGTCAGCACACGTGCTATTTGCTAGATCAATGTCATGGTTATCTGTCTGTATATGGACTGACAGTTAATTCTTCTTGCAATGTATGATCTTGCCCCATTGAAGGCAACTCGTGTTTTTGATGAATTTCAGCTTGTTGATGTTGATTGTCTTTCATATCGGAGCTGGGGTGCGTTTGACTTGCATCTTCGTTGAGGATGCTTTCGATTTGTTGGATTTTTTTCTGCCTGGTGGTTGGAGACGTAGCTTCAAGTCGGGCTATAATGCTTTGGAGGGTGGTGGTGTTATGACTTTGAGGTGATTCTGAAGAGTTAAGAACTTGACAAGTAAGTTTGGTGGATTTATGGACATATGTTGGGTGGGTATCATGAGATGTTGTATCGACTGGTTCAGAGGCAGATATCAGGGTCTCGAGAGTAGGTATAGGTAGGGTCTGGGATTCGCTTTCAGGCTTTTCTGATATCTTCTTTGGTTGTCTCTTTCTTGGTTTGATGGTGAAATCGGGTGGATGATTGTGGCCGAGGTGAACATGGATCAGAAGCCATGACTTCTTTTCATGGTTGACTCGAGCTGTGAGCTTGAAGTTGCATCCGATTCGTAATGATCTGCTGGGTCGGCTGCGTCCTTCACTGACAGGCGGATAGCCACCTCGATGGCAATGATAATGGCAGATTAAGCCGGTTGATGAGTTACCTTTTCGAATATTGTAGCCGTGCTTGTGAGCACCAAAAGCTTGGACGTAGTTGTCCATCTCGTCACGTTCTCCGTCAGTCGTGATGATCTCGGTCTCGGGGGGTGCTGGTAAGATGTATTCGGTAGGAGGTGAGGCTGGGATTGCTGGAGGAGGGGTATTTTTTTGGGGGTCGGGAGGGAGTTCCATTTCAAGGCAACGGTGCGGTTTGGGAGAGTTGAGGTGGTGAGAAAGAACGTTTGGGGTGACCCACGAGTTCGAGGTGGTGATAAAGTTATGTAGATGATTTGTGCAGTAGGGTTAGGAGGTGAGAAGGTGATACTTGTCTGTTGAGCCGTAAGAATCAATGTTCAGGTCGTGACATAGGAGCTGAGGTTGTAGGAGTTATTAAATCACAATAAGAGATGGTAACATTACATACTGTGTGATGGAAAATATGATGAGGTGGTGATAGTACATGTAGTGGTGGTGAAATACGAGCTGAGGTGGTGAGACTGGTGAAATCTGGGTCTAAGCTGGTAGGAAATTTTATACAAGTGATGACTTATCAGCTTAGCTGGTGAGATGTTTCACCTTTTGCATTGTGGTGGTGAGATTATCTGTAAAGGTTGTAATATATATTGATGGTGGCAAGGGCACTACCTTGATGGTATGGGGACTTAGAGGGATTTCGAATTTGGCCTAGCGGCAAATACTCAGCTAGAGATTTCTAAAGCCAGGTTTTTGGACTACATGGGTTGATAGCAGGTACATATTCAACCAATACAGTCGGAGGTTTTAACTACGTACAGGTGCCTCAATGTGAGCATCAATTTTTGCCCCTGTTGTTGCTTTTTGCTTGACACTAGCAAACATGGTCTGGTAACTCTCTGCATTTTGGCCAAGCCATTAAAACTGTGGTAAAGATGGACTCTGTTGCACTTAGAAAGGGGGGACCTTGGACCACATCAGGCTTTACATGACCAGATACTTCAGAAAGTCAAGAGATAAAGTTGAGGGAAACACTGTAGATAAGTTGATTTGGGAGTTTGAAAAAAAGTTTGGTGATTTATTGTACAATCTTAAGTGATATTTGGTTGCTTTGTGTTTTAGCTCTGATATTTGCACCAGATAGCACACTGAGAGTTCAAAATGACTGGTAGCATGTTGTGTTCATGTATTTGTGAAATCTGTTAAAAGACAATCAAGACTGCAGTGTTGAAATGTAGTTTGGTTTGGTGCAAAGTGCTTTAGATATGTTTTTTGTTCTTAGAATTGTTTTTGTTTCTCAATAAGTTTGATGTACATCAATCCCAACATGTTTTCTCAATTTGTCTTATATGTAGTTGACTGTGTTTCTCGACTTTGTCTCTCTTTCCTTATCTTTTGGAAAGAGAGTAAGTCTTTCACTTAAAATACATGTTTCAACATCATACTGATATCACTCAATGAACATGTTAGAACTTTCCTTAGATCAAATCTCATAATCTTTTGAGTTTACTTATTGTTTCTCATTTTATCTTTACCCTCCAAACCTTTGGGTATAGATTTATATTGTTATCTTGTTACGTTTCATTAGTCTGACTTGTTTCACTTATTTATTCTAGGTTAGCAAAGGTCTGCATACCTGAGCTTGTTGGAGAAGAGTGCTGATACGCTGCACTACATTTATAGGTTTTACGGTCTTCTTAGCCATCTACAAAATCAAATCTTGCAGAGTGGTTGCAGCAACCCACAAGTGCAATACAATGCTGGGACTTTTTTTGTGAAGCGACAGTTAGACTGTATGAGAATATTGCTGATATATGGCTGTCAGGATATGCCCAAATTCCGGCTACATGCACTGTGTGCACAGACACTGTGGATGAAATTGCCCTGAATATATGTATATCTTGGTTTATTGTATACAGCTGGGACTTTCTCAAAGGAATCAGTCTACCCACATGACAAATATTGAAGAAAATCAGCAAATGACAAGATGAGAAATTCAACAAAAGAGCTTACAGAGAGCAGATGGAAAACATTTTCACAACAGGAGTATTGAGGCAACAAATATCAGCTATATTGAGATGGGGAAAGAAACAGGAGAGATTTTACTTCAGGACACTTTTTCAAGACAGAAGTAAAAGACTGAACATATGTAAGACAAAGAATGAAGAGAGACAGTTTGTAAACCTCATACCTCCATGAGGTAGCAGCCCATACATCAGCCCCCTCAATCATACAAATACTCTGAAAGTGGACCTTGCCTAGTCTAGTCTAAAAAATTGCATTCAACTGCCATGCACTACCTACATATTATTGCAGAAGATTTGAACAGCACACATTTACTTGACCTTGACCAGTAATCCGGCGCGTGTATGGTGGCTGCCATCATGCCCCTGGTAATTCAGAAAACTGGCTATCAACTTGATAATGAGAAATCTGAACCCACTGAAAAAATTGATTCTATCCTTCACAGTCCATGTATACTTACCCAATAATCTCATGGCAGGTTAAACCAAGAAACTTTCAAGCTTCCTCAAGAAAAAAGTTGTCCAATCTCTCTGAGAAAGCTACTTTTGGAAAGCTTCTAACGTAACAGATGCCATAGTCTGAGTTTCTGGAAACTATCAGAACCCAGGCACCCTCACAAGTGACTTTCCCTCTGTTTTGCTGGATTTCTAGGTGATGGGATGTGAGCGACCCGCTTGTTGCGGGTTTCAAAGCAACCGATACCCGCGGTGTGACGTGAAATGACGTAATGTGGGTTAAGGTGAAGTTGAACTTGAGTTCTGATCGAATTTTGTGTTCGTCGAATTTGACTTCTCTTAACCTCAACAACTAAAACTATTATCATCAAGCAACTTATAATCTATCATGACTCTTTCCAATGCTAGTCAGTGAACCTTCAATTATGTTTTGCTAAAGCTCAATTCTTACTCGATGGATTTGTATTTCATCCGAACAGCCTTCAAGCAAAACCCACACAGCTTACTCGTCGTCCCAGGTCCGATCGAAGTTTCTGACGCCGTCTTGCTCTCCAATGCATCGGCTTCAGTCTCTCATGTTTCCCCCGATTTTGTCCAAATCTTCAAAAAAACACTTTCAATGATACTCGAAGTTCTGTATGCTCCTCAAACTGCACAACCGTTTGTGATCGCCGGCTCTGGAACTCTTGGTTGGGATTTGACCGCGGCCAATTTGATTGAACAAGGAGAACTTGCCCTCGTACTCAACAATGGTTACTTTGGCGATTCGTTCCAAGATTGTCTTGAAACTTATGGTGCAACTGTTGAAAAAGTTCAAGCTCAACTCGGCCATACGGTCACTCCAGACCAACTCGCAACTCATCTCGAGAAAGCCAAGAGCGAGAAGAAGAGTTATAAATTGATCACCATAACTCATTGTGATACTTCCACAGGTGTATTAGCCGATGCCAAAGCATTGGCCGAGGTGATTCAAAAGCATTCTCCTCAATCTTTGATCATCTTGGATGCAGTTTGTAGTGTAGCCAGTGAAGAGATTAGATTTGAAAAGTGGGGTCTCGATATGGTCTTGACAGCCTCTCAAAAAGGATTAGGCTGTCCTCCTGGGCTTTGCATTTGTGTGGCTTCTGAGCGTGCGATCAAAGTCTTCGAAGAGCGTAAATCTCGCCCCGGGTCTTACTATGCTTCTTGGAAGAAGTGGCTACCAGGTCAGTATATGATGCCTTCTAGCAAATCTCAGTCACGCACAAATGGTATACTTGCGAGAAATCTGACATGAGCTTGATTTGTGTGAATGTGTGCAGTCATGAAAGCATACCAATCGGGGAGTGCGGCATATTTTGCGACGCCGTAAGCCCATTGTGATCGAGCAAATTCAAGGATCCAAGCTAACCTATGCTATCAAATTTGATCACAATCATCTCACGAGAAAACAGGCCCACCAATTTGATTACAGTCAGTTGATATCTTTGTTACTAGAAAGCCCCTCAGAAGCCCCATGATTCAAAATTATTCTTCCAGGCGCTCCTCACCTCTTTGGATTCCATCCTCAAATCCTCGCCGAGTCTAGAGGAACGATTTGAACTCCACAAAAAATCATCCGATCGTATCAAGAAAGCTGTTGATGGCCTCGGTTTGAAACAAGTTCCGGTGAACCCAGGTTCCAGTGCTCATGGAATGACTGCTGTCTATCTTCCTGATGGCATAACCCCAGCAGGTAAATGGTTTTTGTTCATTTCTACATCTCTAGATGACTGAACTTTGGATACGACTTTGATATCGAACAGAGGTAGTAGGTAAGATGAGTGCTAAGGGATTAGTGATTGCAGGAGGACTTCATAAAGATGTCAAAGATCGCTATATCAGAATTGGTCATATGGGTATCACTGCTGTTGATAAAGAAAGAGGAGATGTGGACAGAATCGTTCAAAGCTTGAATGAATCCTTCAAAGACCTCGGGTTCCAAGCTAGTTGAGCCATTAGTTTCAAACTTCTCGTCCTGTGGTTGAATTTGTGTCTGTCAGCTTTTGATCGTATGGGAAGCAGTTAGCATCGAAAAGGTCTACATTGTGCGTGTGGTGATATATAAAGTGATATCTATGATCAGTGTCCATACTGTTTGATAATCGTGATCTGAATTCTTTCCCTTTGTAGAACATGGCATGCTACATATGTACTTAGGATACTGTTCTGCTTGTCCATCACTCTGCTTCAGCTAGCCTAGCTGTAGCCTTACCATGCCTTATCCAAATTTCTTAATACGTCTTGACTTTCTCATGTTAATGCTTCTTGACTATCCACGGTATCAAGCTCAATGAAATAGAATCTTGACTTATGTAAGAGCTTACTTCCAACCGCACTCAGTAGATTGTTAGTTTGTAGTTCTCGTCCTAACTTGACTAAGTTCCTCTCGGACAAGCGAGTAGTCGAGAGAGGGACTTGTGGCTTATACACGAATTTTGGCGTGTGAGCCAAAAATCTTTGGCTGGTGACTTTTTTGAACTCCCGTATCCCCGTCCTCTACAAATAAATATCCTCTGGACCAAAGAGAAGTCCTGTGCGCCTGCTCAACCTACACACCTGAATGTATCTCACTCCTTATCTGGCCCATTTATTGCGGAGTAATGAGAGGGTAGAGTTTGGAAAAAACACTACAATACCTGAGAAAGCTGCTCAACGTGTCAAAACCTCACACCAGGCAAGCTGGATTGTTACACAAACTCAATTTTTCAAGCCTGGTTTCTAGCACGTTCTGAAACCCAAGAAATAAATTTAAAAGACCCAACATGAAAGGTTTAGCAGGTGCACAAGGCCTTTCTTAGGCCCAGAGGATATTTATTTGCAGGCGATGGAGCTATTCAGGGTTGAAAAAGTCCCCAGCCAAAAACAAAAAAATTGGCTCACACACCAAATTTCATGTATGAGCCATAAGTCCCTCTCTCAACTACTTGCGCGTCCAAGAGGGACTTAGTTAAGTTAGGTTCTTGTTGGTTGAACACTTCAACACGGCTGTCTGTGGTCCACTCGTGGCAAAATGCAAGTTGTTTTGTTACCACAAGAAATCTACTGTCTGGCGGCTTTTTGTTGCCTCCTTCGTAGTCAGAGGGCGCCTCAGGGGGTCCTTTTGTGGGCCGTCTATGTGAGGCCGACCTAAGGACGGTCCTCTATGGCAGACAGAAGGGCGGTCCTCAGCTGGACTAACTGGTTGGTCCAAAGGCAGTCCAGACCACCTGGTGGTGTACCACTCATCTGATCTGGCCCCGCAGGCGTCTCCGGACGTGTAAACTGGCTCCGCAAGGTGAGCTCTTTGCATGAAGTCCACCCCAGTCCGGCTTGCTGGCTTTTCTTGGGTAAATGATGGGCAAAATTAACCAAGTCCTATTGCTGACATGTACCTGCCGTGCTGGAGAAGCATTAAGTTTCTCATGGGCACTTCCAGGTGTTCAGTGAGGAACACTGAGTGTTGAGTTGGGAACACTGAGCGCTCAGAGCCGCTTGTCTCCTAGTCTACCTGAGCCTTGACTCCTCTTGACTCAGACGGATGAAGTTCAGCCTAGGCAATTTTCTTCCAATCTTTACCCTTTGTGTATAATTGTAAACATCTGTGCCACAAAAATCACACAAACATGACAAACTTGCCGAGACTGTAGGGCCCCCGACGTTGGGGCCCTTCTCCATGGGAACTGTGTCTTGTTGTCAAAAGAATATCTCTTGTGACTCCCAAATGTTTGGTGTTTGCCTATCAATTTGAGAAATCCTAAAACTCTAGGCCAGTATGTATCAATCAAAGCAGAAGGCAACAATGGTTCTTCAATTGAATTTGATACCAGTTTCTGAGCATGACTTGTGTTGTTTTATAAGCCCACCTGCTGTTGTAGAATTGCATTTGTTCCTGTGTGACTTGGCTCAGACAGCCTTGATGGTCCAGACCATAATGATTGTGCAGGGGGGTAGTGTTTCAAATATGTCTGCTCAAAGGTCTTTATCTTACGTGTCTTTGCCGAGGAAGTGATCTCCAACTTTTTTGATAATTCAAGATGCCTACCTCTTCCGTCATATTGTTCTATAGCTCTGATGTTTGACCAATCTTTTTTCACATCAACAGGACTCACATGCATAGCTGCCTTGGGTAGCTCTTTAGATTTCAAGACATGGTTTGCCACAGTTAAAACTAAGAGTTGTATATGGTTTAAGTGGTGACCAAGAGGCCTGCCAATCTGGTAAAGTCAAGGATTCCAAAATAGGAATGGTGTAGTTGGAGTGCAAAGGAATCCAAGTTGTTCACTGACACTCGTGTCATATGCATTGTTGTAAGGATTGTCCTTGGCGTGATGTGACCAGTAGGCAAGAAGGGAATGTTGCTAGGGATTGGAATTGACAATGCAGGCACATTGAAGCATCCATCAGAAGTATACTCTCCTTCCAATTGATTGAATTCCTGCTGATGGAGTGTTGGAACAGATGCCAAGGGTGACCATGCCAATGGTTCTGCATAGCCTGCTGTGGCTGAAACGGGGTGACATATGGTGCTGGTAAAACCCCGAAGGCCCATAGCCGTGAGTAATATAGGCCAATAGAGCATCAAGGCCAAGATCTGGCACAACCTCCTGCCAAACATTTCCATGGTTTAGTTGCTTAGTGTGAGGTGCATCTTGGCCATAGTTTTAATTATATATGGCTTCAAGCATGTGCACACCCAAGTGCACCTCAAACCACAGATTGTGTCATCTCGAGTACCGTAAAGCTGGCTTAAAAGTGCCAAGCAGTTGCAACTTGCAGTCACCATCAGCGCTTCACTCCATTTCATCAAATGAGGGTGGAAAGAATTGGCTTCAATGTGGTGAAGAACAAAGAACTCCAAAGCTCTTGGCCAGAGAATCCTGTTAATTTATTTTTTGATGTCTTACACAACTTACAACCCTTGATTGAATAACAAAAGCAAAGAACTAAAACATGTAGGATACATAGCACAGTAAAAGACTGGTTGTTTCTGCACTTTGATCTCAAGCATGTTGAACTGCTCCGGGGGACACTGGGGTTTTTTGTTAAGCTAGTTGACAAAGCACTTGTTTTCAGTTGAATACATATTTCATATAACTCTTTGATCCCAAAAGTAAAGCCAAATCAAGGGGGGCCTTCAGCAGATCTGATCTTTTGCTACATTAAAGAGCAGAACACAACATGTATAAATCATTGAGATCAAGTCTGATCAGTCAAAAAGGAGCAACATGATAGGCTGTGAATGTTGCAACTACATTATCTGACAGCACATAGACTCTGGCAGCTCACTGTTTAGTCTCTTTAATCTTTCAAACTTGACTTTGTTTTCATATTCCACAAGAACCTTTTGGATTCCTTCATTCATTAGATGATTTTGAGCATTGAAATATTTCAAAAACTCATAGAGGACAGGTCTTTCATAGGTGAAAGTGGTTCCATCTTTTTCTTCAAGGAAAACTGCCATGATTCTACTTGTCTCCTCAAAACTTCTCCTGACTAATTTTTCCACAGTTTTTTGTAATTCAACAGTCTCCCCCAATCTCTTCATTTTCAAGAACACATGAACGTCTTCAACAAGTCAAGAGGTATCACTGTTAGTCTAGATGCATGGTTTGGATTGGATCACAAATCACTCACGTCTTGCCCAAAATTGAATAACCTTGATTGCCTCAGTTGAATGCGAAAAAAGATTAAAGTTCATGCCATAGGGCTTCACATCCCATTCCACTGATTGGAATTCAATCTTAGTGCTTCAATTGGATTCTGGGTTAACAAAGACACTCATCTTTCACAAGAGCTTCAGGATGAACATACCTCTCATCCTGCAAGGAGTCAATATATTCCAAAATTGTAGCTGAATGAGATCTCAATTTGTTGTGTATCCAATCTCTGTAGACTTTTTCAATACTGCTATTGCTAGGCAAGTTATGAACTGATTCAATATATTGTCTCTGGACAACTTGAGTCTCCACAACTTTTTGTAACTGCTTTTTGTGTCCAAGGCGTACATAAAGCCTTGCACCTTGATAAGATGGTGAACTCAGTATGATTCCTTTCCTAGTGGCAATTGATATGCTGACATACCCAAAGTCCAAAGTGCATATAGATTTTTCTGAACTGATGGAGGCCAATCTCCAGCTAATTTCATACCATATTCACCAATTGTTTCTTGCATGGATTCAAAATCCCTTAGGTCTCTATGTGATTAAAACAATTCAAAAGGTGAGTGTGAAAACTGATGCAAGTGACTATCAAGACAACAAATTAATTGACTAACTTTCCATGATCCAGAGAACCTATATGTTGAATCATCTTATCTTTATACAATTTCAGTGCAATATTCATCTCATCATACCATAGTTGGTTCTTGATACGAGGTCGAATACAATACTCTATGTTATCCATTTTGATCAACTGAGCCCATGCCACTTGAACAACATCAAATGGTAAGTCATAGCTCCTAATGAGTTGATTTAATGTTTGCAAAATTATTATATTCTCTTCATCATCTCTCATTGGAAGATGTATTTGAATTGTGTCAAATAAAGCTGCAAGTCTGTCTTTCCAAGTTCCTCTGTCTTGTTTCACCAGCCGGCTGATATATTTGATCAATCTTCTATGTTTCTTCATGGATGATTCTGTTACATGACCTGCCAATTTTGATCAATGTTCAGTATTCTGGATACCTTTAACAAATATGTAGTTGTAAGGAGATCAGATTTGTTTATAATTGGTACTTACTCTTCTTCCAGAATCTTTTTATCTCATCTGATGTTGATGTTTGAATTTCAAATGGAATGTGATGCTTGCAATCAGAAGTAGAGCTTCCATGACCGGGGTTGACTGTCTCAGAAGAATTGGTCAGTTCATAAAGCAAAGCTCATATAAGAGTGAAGACAGTCTATTGACATTTTCTGGACAATCCTATTGCACTTTCTTGTCTGGAAATTTGGTTAAAGGATAAGCCCCCCTGCTCTGAATGTACAAAAGTCTGAACACCATGAAAATTGATTAATGACTGAACAATGTGATGGAGGATGATAAACTGGTATGCTTTTTTGATTGATAACCAGGTCATCATAAGATCATTTAACTTTTTATCTCTACTCAGAAATTCAGAATGTGTGGTGGCAAGGACTTGAGACAGTTCTTATTTGGCCACTTAGAACTTAGAAGACCACACTCAAACTTGATTACTCAAATAAATCACAGTGTCATATCTGTGTCAAACTTCATCTGAAGTTCAATCCACTCATTTGTATGAATTTAACACATGTTCCTCTTGCCTAATACTCAATACTCTTGATATGTGCTTTGTCATCTATGACTCATGTTTCAAAGTCATTGTCCAACTTTGCCACACTGTTGGCCTAGGCTCCCTTGTAAGTATCATAAATTCTTTTATGAATACAGCCAGTTACAAGTTCCTTACAAGGATTTCTATCTGTCTGGGAAGTTAAAACAAGGGACCAGGTGGGCTGATTTTCACCTAGTACTCTTCCGCATGCCCAATACAAAGATTTGTGCCTTGATTCAAATGATATGTGTCTTTGAGATACCATCATGTGAAATCCTCTCATTTCAATTGACCACAAGAAACTTGAGGTCATACTCTTCCTTGCCAATCATGCTGATCACATACCGAATGGTTGGCCAAAAGTGAATGGACATTGCCTCAGTTAGCTGAATGCATGTGTGAGCATCACAATAAGGGGGAAACACACTCTGGTAAACAATTCTGTCTTTTCATTATTCAGCCTGGGATCACTATCCTCACAATTGCCTCAGATGATGGCCAATCAAATTTGCAGCCCATCACTCCTCACACTACCATTTAAATATTGCTTGGCTTGTAGCTAAGCACTGCCCTCCAAGGGTCAAAAGGTACCTTCCAAGGAAACATGATGATGTAGCAGACTGTTGCCAACTCAAACAAGTCCCCTTCAAGGGTTACTAGAGAATTCTTTTCTTTGGTAGACCTCCAAGGGGACTTGGTAAAGTTAGAGACTACATATTGGATCTTTCAGTGTCAAAAATCAAGCAGCACGTCTGCCATGGAGCTGATATCTCCCAAAGGAGACACAGATAGCTCCCTCTGAGAGAGAAGTTGCTTACATGAAGATTACAATGCCTTCACTAGGAAGAAGTCACAAAATCTTTGATTGCTGTTAGACAAGTTTGCTTTATACAGCCAAAGATCTATCATCAACTTAACCCACCTCACTGAAAACTCTCTTACTTCTTTCTCTTCCAGCAAATTTTCTTGCAGATCAGTTTACACTCTTGGCTCTTTTCAATGATTCAAGGTAATATAATCATATAACACTTGTCAATGTGTTTTGAAAAAACAATGTTGATGGTGATGGCTTGCTAGGTATACTTTGCTTTCCAACTCAATCTTTGATCCATACTACATGCAGGCCATGTGAGTTTTCAAGCTGGCCAGCGGACATCTTCAAACTTTCGATTTTAAACCTAGAAACCCACAATGATCTGATGAATGTTCCATTGGTCATTGTCAGCAGGCGCCGAGGGTTTACTACTTATTTGGCTATTTGTCCATATGCGCTTTGTTTGACATTTCACAGATCACTTGGCAAATCTTAATCATCTTCACCGCTACTATAATCAACCAATGGTCCACTCTCTGCTACTGACTCAAGAGCCTTCCTTGTACTACCATCACCCGAATGTACGTCGGTAAGATTGATATCTGTACTTGTACTATCAGTACTGATCCGACTTCTTTTATTCGCCCAACCTGAGTCAGTCTGACGAGTTTGAAGTGGAGCAGCTTTGGGTAGAATTTGCACTAGATCTGAAGCGAGTTGGTCTGACCATTCTGAGAGATTCCATACTTCTATCATAGGCCATTCGACAATACTAGAGCCACTCAAGGCGTCAGAAAGGGTTGTTTCAAGTTCGAGAAGATGGTAGCAACGTTTAGGATGCGATGATGAAGTGGTATTGATTGAGAATTCGGGATTTGATGAAGTTGTAGATGGGTCAAGAAGAAGTGTCAGTACGAATGGATTCGGTGATTTTGAGGATTCTTCATCTAGTTTTGGTTTAGAGAGAGATTCTAGTAAGTTTTCTCGAACAGATTGATCAATTTTGAGTTTTTTAGATCCAAGAGATTGGGTAAGAAGCTCGACGAGTGAAAGAGTTGAAAGGATTTGATGAGATAAATGGTGAGAGAAATTTTCATTTGCTTTGCTTGATGATTTAATTCGAAAGATTAATTCGACGGTCCATTGCATACATTTTTTCCTATCAAACCAATCATATCAAATTCCAAAAAACGTTGTAGTAAGTGAATTGAAAACAAAAAAAAACTTGAACGTATGAAAAATAACGAGGAATAAAGTCAAGAAATTTACTTATGATTAAAGCTAGTTGTATTCATTTTCCGACGACTCATTCCTTCTGACATTAAGCTTAATCTAACGTTTTCTCTCGCAGCATTTTTGATTAATCCATCACGTTTAGAATCAAGTTTTGAAGGATCAGTGGTAGAAGTTGACTTTCTCCTAGTCGAATCTAAAGCCCTGTTGACTTCTTCAAGATAACTATAATCTTGCATTAAAGTACCCCAAGTGTATTGATTGATTGGTACATGAGTCACTCGATTTCGTTTTCCATTACAATTTTTGATTTGTTTATGTTGATTTGAACATTTTAATGAACAAGTTCTTATTGAACAAGATGGACAAGTGTAGATTGATTTTTCTTGATTACACTCTTTACAAAGTTGATTTCGATCTGGAATGGTTGAGGTTGAGGTTGAACTACTTGAAGCTATTGAGGTCGATGTTGACATCTTGGAAACAATTGATGAAGAGAGAACTGGACGATTGAAGCATGAAAGAAGTTGGAAGGATCTCTGAGAGAGAATGAAACTGAAATTCTGAAACCTAACCCTGACCCAGTTGAGTGCAGTGATTACATGTTAAAATAGTGACATGTGTGTATGTAAATTTTTTGAACCCACAACAGTGTCCTGTGACCAGTTCACTGCAAATCGAATTTTACCATTCTCACCAAATCTCATCTGATTCTCACAAGAAAAGAAAGGAAACAAAGAAAGAAAGAAAGAAAGAAAGAAAGAACGAGAAAGGACGAATACCAAGTGGAATGGACACTACTCATCAATCTCAAACTACTGATACCCATCAACCTTTTGATCTCAGAAATGCACTCAATCAATTCTTACATCATATTGGAATCTTGCCACTTTCTAAAGCGGCTTCACCCAATACTTCAAACTCTGAACATCTGGGTACAATCATAGAATTCAGATTCAATAATCACTTGACTTCAAATGATATTCAACTATTACTTGCATTTCTTGACATTCATCTCTTCGATCAACATCATATCTCAAATAATCAACTTACAACTTCGAATCTTTGCAATTTACTAAGTCGATTGGCACTCATTCAACCCTTTACTGAACCCATCGCTAGATTCTTTGGTCCTATCTTGCCTGAACTCGTCTCTCGATGGATACTTGAATTAGGATATTCATCTCAAGGATTTTATGATCAAGCAACGTGCGATTTTTGGTCGCATTTCACCCATTTAGGACCGATTGTACCTGATGTAGAAGGTGAAAAACGAAAAGAGTTCTTAAGACTCGTATTTTCAGCTTTTGTAACTTGTTTACATATTCATCCTTCACTTTTTCAGTGAGTTTGTATATCTACTAGCAGTCACCAGTTCCAATAAATTTTTGCTAACTTTTGCTTGATTTTTTCAGCTTTGGGATTCTGATTTTACGACATCCAGCATTTGCTACTGACCCTTTCAACATCTTACCAGCTTCGGTTCTTGTGGTCCCACTTGGTCACAATCGCAACAATCTACCAACAACTCATCCCCTATTCCATGATCCATGCGTCACATCTCTACTCTTGTCCCTTCATCGACTTCTGGCGCTTGCACCCCATCTTCCCTTTCCTGGATTGATCAAAAACGGATGGCTTCTGCCCGATGTATTATCATGTCTGATGCAACATCATCCGCGTCAAGGAATTCGATATCTTGCTTGGCGATGTTGGAGGTATTGGCAGGGTGACGCTGGATTTGCTCAGTTTGGAATTGAGATCAGGAATCGATATGTTTGGAATCCAGAGATCGATCAATCAACGAGTTTGATCGAATCCAATATGATATCACCTTGGCCATCTAAATTAATAAACCAACCATCTGATACCAACTTGAATCATGTAGATAGACTACCAGAAGAATTGATTGAATACGATGAACAATTAACTTCTAAATGGGACTTTCGTCTCTCATCTAATCCTCAAAGCTCAACCATATCTTATCAGACTGTCAGAAGAGCCATTGATGTTTGGGTCTTACCCATGCATGAAGACTGGTGTCGATCCCAAAGTCCGAAACCCTCATCATTATTGGCTTCCAATACCACTTCACGACCTTTGTTCATGTCTCCTGGCGATCTAAGTCCCTTGGTCAATGACGTTGACGGTCTGATCATCCTCCGCTTTGGCTCATTACCAGCCCCGAAAGTTTCAAAGTCTCAACCCAAACGAATCTGCGATAATAATGAGATCAGCGTTCCGAAGGCCCTTCTATACGCTCCCCTCTTTGTGCCTACCTCATCGTCACGCGCTGCTATTCGCTCACTTGCCCGTTCGATTGAGCAAAGACTTCCAGTTCTTTTGTCCGGACCACCCTCTTCAGGAAAAACGACCATAATTGAAGAGGTTGTTAATCTATTTTGGTCATCAGCATCATCATCATCGGACCAGACTTTCACGCGTCATCAGGCAAATGTTGTTATCCTCAACTTGGCTTCACGTACACTCGATGCCAAGAGTTTGATTGGTAGTCATGTAAGCTCAACTGAAGATGCGGGGAAATTTGTGTTTGTCGAAGGCCCTCTCACACGTGCTATGCGAGAAGGAAAATGGCTGGTTTGTCGAGATATAGATCGGGCTTCTGATGTGAGTACAGCTGAGTTCTAAATGAGCGTACCCATCTACTGGCTGACTCAAAGCACCCAACTTTTGCTCACATGTAGGATATTCTGGCGGTCATTAACCAAGTCGCTGACCTTATCCGTCATCGAGTTCAATATGAAGTTGGAGGAGGAATTGGAGGTCATGGATGTGAGCATGGAGTAGGAATGGATTTGGGTTCACAAATCGGATGGGTATCTGCCAGTGAAAGATTTGCTTTAATAGCTACTCGAACTACTACTGCTGACGATCAAACCTCGAAGAGTTTTATTGGTGAAGGGTATTGGAATAAAGTTGAATTACCAAATTTGAATCATCAAGATGTTGTGGAGATTTTAAAAGGGATTCATCCTTCCATGTCGACTGATGTACGAGATTGCTTAGTGAGCGCTTGGATGGAAGTCTCAACTATGCGATCGGCAAATGATTCTCGGCGAATGAGAACTTCATTGAGAGAATTGATGAGGTACGTTTGGTTCTTTTTCGATCCTACTTCTCCACTTTTTTATGAAACTAACGGTTTTCGGGCTTTGAATAGATGGGCTCGAAGAGTAGAAACGCTTATACCCAAAAATCAAGTCTTACAATCAGTATCCCCAAATCCAATCATTCAAGAATCTATCTTCCTTGAAGCAGTTGATATCTTTTTAGCTTCGTCTGATAAACTTATGTCAGAATCCGAAACATCAAAAACTCAGGATCTCTCAATCGCACTTTGTTTAGGTTCTCATTTATCTTTAAATGAAGAGCGAATTAAATACTGTTTATACCAAAGAACTCCAGATCTTATACCCCCACTCAAAAAATCTTCAAAAGATAAGAAGAACGCTTCACTTCAAATCGGAAGAATCAGAATACCTATCACTCAATCAATTGGTCCAGCAATTCCATATTCAAGACCGTTCGCGTTGACTAAATCTTCATTAGTGTTACTTGAAAGATTGGCCAATTGTATCAAATCTTCTGAACCGATTCTTTTGGTGGGTGAGACTGGTACTGGTAAGACTTCGATTATTAGTTTCTTGGCTAAGTCGGTTGGTAAGTCTTTGGTATCACTCAACTTGAGTAATCAAAGTGAAGCGAGTGATTTATTGGGAGGTTTTAAGCCTCTTGATTTGAATGAGGATGCAAAGTGTAGGTCTCATCCTTCACCAATCTTGCGGTGCATATAAAATCTGAATTCTGTTTGTTTCTTTGACAGTGACTGCAAATTCATTGATTGACGAATTTACTCAAGTTTTTGGTGACCAATTCAAACTTTCACGGAACCAAGAATTTATTATGGGAATGCGAAAGTCATTGGTCAAAAAGAAATGGTCACGTTTAGTCACGATGTTGAAAGAAGCGGTTCGTGCAATGGTCGAACGAGCGCAAAAGCAAGCTCCTAAGACGATCATGGATCCAGAATCAATTGAATCACCTAACAAGCGTCGAAAGGTTTCGACCATTGAAGATCTACAAGTTGAATGGCAAACGTTTTTTGGTAAACTTGAAGAATTCGAAGATCGGTTTGTTAGAAGTTCATCTTCAAATCAAGTACGATTTAAGTTTGTAGAAGGACCACTTGTTCAAGCTATGCAACGAGGTGATTGGGTACTTTTAGATGAAATCAATCTTGGAACAGGTGAAACATTAGAATCCTTGGGTACCTTATTACAACATAATAATTCTTCGATCGTTCTAAGTGAAAGAGGTGATTTGGAGCCTATCAAAAGGGATCCAGACTTTAGATTGTTTAGCTGTATGAACCCTGCGACTGATGTTGGTAAACGAGATTTACCTGCTAACCTACGATGTAAATTCACCGAGTTCTATGTTCAGCCACCTGACAACGATCGAGATGCACTCTTGAACATCGTCTCTCAATACCTGACCGGCTTATACGTGTCTGACAAACGCGTAGTCACCGATGTGGCTGACTGTTATTCCACGATTCGAACAATGTCACAAACGGGTCAACTAGCTGACGGGACAAATTCACCGCCTCATTACTCTATGCGAACACTTTCAAGAGCATTGACCTTTGCAGTAGATATCTCGGATTCATTCAGCTTAAGAAGAGCTCTGGTAGAAGGTTTTTTGATGTCATTCGTCACTACTCTCGATTCTGGATCGGCCACTAAAGCGATCAATGTGATCCACCAATACTTTGTTAAGACGGCTAAGAATCCAAAAGCTTTGATGAACCAAGCTTCAAAGAAACCTAATTCACCATCAGAAGACTTCATTCAAGTTGGACCTTTTTGGTTGAAGAAAGGTACTCGGGCTGAACAAGGTGATCAGAAACACTCTTATGTACTCACAGATTCAGTCAAGACCAAGATGATCGATCTCGCTCGAGCTGTTAGTACTGGTCGTTATCCCGTCCTGATCCAAGGACCTACGTCAAGTGGTAAAACAAGTATAGTAGAGTATTTAGCAGAACGGACTGGTCATACGTTTGTACGAATCAATAACCATGAACACACCGACATTCAGGAATACATTGGAAGTTATGCCACTGATCCAGAAACAGGACAATTATGCTTTAAAGAAGGAGCATTGGTTAGAGCGCTTCGAAATGGTGAATGGGTAGTATTAGATGAACTTAATTTAGCACCATCCGATGTATTAGAAGCCTTAAATCGATTATTAGATGATAATCGAGAATTATTGATACCTGAAACTCAAGAAGTCGTTAGACCTCATCCTCATTTCATGCTCTTTGCAACTCAAAACCCACCAGGACTCTATGGTGGTAGAAAAGTACTTTCAAGAGCTTTTAGAAATCGATTTTTAGAATTACATTTTGATGAAGTCCCTAGAGATGAATTAGAAATCATTTTATGTGAAAGATGTCAAATCGCTCCTAGTTATTCTAAAAAGATTGTAGAAGTTTTTACTGAATTGCAACGTAGAAGACAAACTGATCGAATCTTTGAACAAAAACATAGTTTTGTGACTTTAAGAGATTTATTTAGATGGGGTGAACGTGGTGCGGTTGGATATCAATCTTTAGCAGAAGATGGTTATATGCTTTTGGCTGAACGATCAAGAGTTATGGAAGAGAAGATTGTGGTAAGAGAAGTATTAGAAGAAGTGATGAAAGTGAAGATTGATGCGGTTCGATTGTATGAAGATGTTCAACTACCTAGCTCATTAGTTTCAACAAAAGCCAGTAAAAGATTATTTAAGTTATTATCAAGAGCATTGGAATTCCATGAACCGGTGGTTTTAGTTGGCGAAGCAGGATCAGGGAAAACATCAGTCTGTGAAGCATTTAGTGAAACTCGAAATCAAATCTTGAGATGTATTAACTTACATCGTAATTCTGAAGTTGGAGACCTTTTAGGTAGTCAAAGACCGGTTAGAAATCGAGCAGGCGAATTAAGATCTGTTATGGAACAATTCAATTCATTAATAGTCAATTTTGGAATCGATTCTGCTCCATTTATGGATCTTGAAGCTCATCAAGTGATTGAATGGATTGAAGGTTTTATTCAAGAACGTAAGAAAGAAAACCAACTTGACTCAGTCCAACAACTTGAATCAGTCTTGAAGCTTTTAAGACAATCTCTGGCATTATTCACATGGAAGGATGGACCGTTGGTACAAGCTATGCGAGAGGGAGATCCAGTCCTATTAGATGAAATCTCTTTAGCAGACGATTCTGTACTAGAAAGGCTTAACAGTTTATTGGAGCCTAGTCGATCAATTGTCTTGGCAGAATGTGGTGGTGCGACGATTGAGGAAATGCAGATCAAAGCTCATCCTTCTTTTGAGATTATGGCCACGATGAATCCAGGTGGCGATTTCGGTAAACGTGAACTTTCGCCTGCACTTCGAAATCGGTTTACGGAGATTTGGGTTCCTCTTGTCTCTGAACCCGCCGATCGGATTGCTATCTTTGCAAGTAGATTATCAACTTCAAAATCAACTTCAGATCGACTCCCTTCTGATTCAGAATGCCTAACATGGGCTGAGCGCATTGTCGGTTTCTCGAACTTTTTTTCACAATCACCAGCTTCGGTTCCATTGGCTTCTCGTGAACTTAGTTTGAGAGACGGATTATCATGGTGTGATTTCATCAAGTCATGCTCTACACTTCCAATTCCAATCGCATTTGTTCATGCTGCTCAAATGACTGTGCTTGATCGACTGGGTACGGCTGGATTTGGTCAGGATTTGGCTCCATCAGTTATTCAACAATTACGTCAAGCTTGTTTCATTGAACTTCATCAACTTGCTGGTCTCCCTCCTCCTATCGATCAAGGCCCGGTGGAAGTGCTTGAGACGGAAGTTGGGTTACAAATCGGTCAATTTGCGCTATTGAAAGCTGTCTCGACATCGACTCCTCAACTTTCAAATCATCGTTACTCATTTTCGGCACCTACCGTGGCTCAAAACACTTTGCGTATCGTACGAGCTCTCCAAGTTCCGAAATCGATTTTACTTGAAGGTAGTCCTGGGGTAGGTAAGACGAGTATGGTAGAAGCATTAGCGAAGATGACAGGTCGACGCTTAAGGCGAATCAATCTTTCAGATCAAACGGATTTATTGGACTTATTTGGATCAGACGTACCAGTGGAAGGTGGTAAGGCAGGAGAGTTCGCATGGAAGGATGCAGCATTTCTTGACGCACTTCAGAGAGGTGATTGGGTGTTGTTAGATGAAATGAATTTAGCTCCTCAGACAGTCTTGGAAGGTTTGAACGCGTGTCTAGATCATAGAGGGACGGTTTATGTTCCTGAACTGGATCGAACATTTGTTCGACATCCTGACTTTAGAGTCTTTGCGGCCCAGAACCCACATCATCAAGGTGGTTCACGTAAAGGATTACCTCGATCTTTGGTCGACCGATTCACAGTTGTTTTTATGAAAGAGCTGGATAAAGATGATTTATTTACAGTTTGTAGTGAAATGGCACCTGGGTTTAGTAGTGATCAAATCCTTCAAATGGTTAATTTCAACGATAGGATCACACAAGAAGTCAACAAGCCAAATCTTTTTGGCTCTTCTGGCTCACCTTGGGAATTCAATTTGAGAGATATCGGAAGATGGTTGCAAGTCACCACGAGGCCGAGTGAGCTTGATCGATCTCCAAATTCACCACTCGAACATTTGGATATGATCTATACTGGTCGTTTTAGAAATCCATCAGATCATCTGGTTTGTCAGAACATCCGTGCCGAGTTCTTCACCGCCGCCTCTACCACAAGCGACCGACAAGATGTGGTCGAACTATCTACTGATTTCATCATCGGACATAGTCGCTTACCAAAGTCTGGAACACCACAACTCACTCCATCCGTACCTTCACCAACTCATCTACCTACATCACTCAGAAGACCAGCAGAATCCTTGATGAGATGTTTAGAACTCAATTGGTTACCAATCCTTACTGGACCAGAACAATCAGGAAAATCTTCACTTGTGAAATATCTTGCAGGACGAAGTGGTGCTCGTATCCGAACTATTTCAATGCATTCAGGTTCTGATACTTCTGATCTGTTCGGTGGATTTGAACAAAGCAATGTTCATCGGAATGTCCTCGTCGTTTTGGATACTATCGTCAACGCAATTCAATCAAGCTTACAAAGTCAACTTGATCTCACCTTTCCTATCGCATCGGTCTTTGGAGCAAGTTTGATGGACTTACGCACGCTTAGAGAAGTTGTTTCTTCAATGGCCCCTGAAGCTGCGGCTGATCAGATGTTGAAAATATTGAGCCGTTTACCTACAGGAATAGAGATTGATATATCATCGATGATATCCACTGTTCGAAACTTACAAACTAGACCAGCAACCTGTAGATTTGAATGGATTGACGGTCCATTAGTGACAGCGATGAAACAAGGTGATTGGCTAGTGATTGAGAACTCAAACTTATGTAGTGCATCTGTACTTGATCGTCTTAATCCGCTTTTCGAAGGCAATTGTCAACTTCAATTGACTGAACGTGGAATGCATCAGGGTGAGATTGTGACAATAACGCCACATCCTAAATTCCGAATGATCATGATCTTCAACCCTCGTCATGGTGAACTTTCTCGAGCCATGAGAAATCGAGGAATCGAGATTAGTTTTCTATCAGACACCAAATTCGACGTAACAGATCAAGTCATCAGCTCTGATCGAGCTCAATTCATGTTTAATTCGAATTGGAGTCTTTGTTCATCAAAATCTACAGAGGCCGAATCACCTATCCGATGGGCTGCGGAGTTATTAATTCATCCACCAACCCAATATCCACTTCTTACACGATTATTAGATCATGTTTCGTCAGGTCAAGAAACTCAAGAAAAACTCAAAGGAGCCATGTCACGTATCTGTATGCCTGATTTGAGAAATGCTATCGAATCATTTGTCAAAGTGAATAGGATGTCTCATATGATGGTAGGAAAGGTGAGTTTTTGTTATTTCTTACATGTGGTCCTCCAAGCGCGCTGGTTCACTGACTTACTTCGGCTTGAACAAATTCCAGACATTAGATTTGGCTCTTACAGGGCATTTCTATCAATCAAATCATACTCCGTTCATGATCGAAATCTTGAGGCTTCTCCTCACATTAGTACTGGCCACTTGTTGTCCGACTGTCTCAGTATTACCCGAGGAGATGTCGCGACCTGGTGTTCTTCAAGGCTCATCGTCCAAGGCTTTGAAACAGACCAATCACTGGAAAACACTTTTAGACCCTACCCTCCTTTCAACATTTGTGGATGCGGCCAACAGCTCAATTATCGAGATGGCAACTCATGTGCTTCGGGAATCAACAAAGGAGGCATGTAATGAAGTGGCTCTCATGGTAAGTCTTCATTCAAAACGCGATGTGTGATTTGTATTGACCATGCTTTTCGATTTGATCAGGACATCTGTCGATCACTTCATAACCTGCAGGTTGCCGTCATGAAGCTTGCAGGTCTGATGAGCACTGCGCCAGATTATGCTTCCTTTGGTTTTGCATTTCAGGTCATTGATCGAACACTGATCGAACTGAAAGAGACGTGCTCAAACTCATTTGATAGTATCTCTAATCTTCTCTCACCTCTTAAATCGGAGTTTGATATCACTCGATGGGAGGCAATGGTACAACTGTGGAATTGCTTTTGTCCTTATTTTACTCCTGAAGCGGACTTAATTGAACAAATTCATCAATTAGAAGAAATTGGTATAAATCACTTGCATAAGACTAAACCTGGTTCGTTATACGTATTTTAGTTGCTTGACTGGAAGTATGAGAGCTTTGGCTGACTGGGAATCATTTTTGATACAATGAATGGATTCAGAGTTACGATCTTTGTATTTTGAAGTAGTCGGATCCTTGAAAATCTCATCTGAAAAGAGAGCTGAATTTATTACGAATCTCAAAGAAGTTGGTGATCGATTGCAAAAAGTATGTACTCAGATCATGTCTCGATCTTGATTGATGGCTGACGTGTTTCTATTGATTTTCCTTCTAGCAAATCACTTGTGATGAGATCAGTGAGGAAAGTTCTTGCCAACCTGCGGTATACGATCTTGAACGTGCTATTGAACAAACTGTTGGTACTATTGGGGTACTTTCACATACTAGCGGGTCTTCATCTGTAAGTTAACTTGATTTCCAATGAAGTAACTCTCTGTGAACTGAGACTGACTTGCACTCTCGTGGAGCATCAGCGCTGGGACGCAAGTTTTTCTCAGCTCTTAGCTGGGTGCAAAGCTATTTCTAGTGAACTTGGGGTGTTACTCTACAGTCAACATTATCTGAGCAATGAAGGGAAAAATAACGGTATGGGATTCTTTGAGATGATCCCCTGGACAGTGCAGTTAACTCATTTTCGTCAATAATATCTAGATGAAGTGCAGATGGAGATCGACATCGAAGTATTGAGGTCTCTGACAATGGTAGAGCCTGTTCAGAAAACACAAGTAAGGATACACCTTCCCTAAATGACCGTAGAGATTCTTAGTTTGACAGTGTGTGGAATTAGGTTCAGCTTCTTTTTGAACCTTTCAACCTTGTAGCACAGTTGGACGGTGCTGCTATTTTACGCTCTATGTCTAGATTGACCAGGTGAGCTTAAGCTTTCCTTGTCTCTCAGAAACTTTAGTCGCTAATCATTCTTCATATTATTTTGGCAGATTGGTGGGATTCGCCACAACGCTTGAAGATCATGAGAGGATGACGACAATGCTCAAGCATGTCTCTCAACTCGTTTCATCTAATGCCACTCGTCTAGCCGTGGATAGATCTCAATCTTTCCTTCAAATAATGGATCGTGTGCTGATTCGCGTGAGTGACCTCTCTCTCTCTTGACCTTGCATGATACTCCCCACTGAGTGTGTTTCAATGTCCATAGATGAATAAATCTATTGCAAAATGTCGACAAATTGATGTGACTAGACCTCTGCTATTAACGAGTTCAGACTTTGATAATTGTAAGCTTCCCTTTCTATTCTAATCATCCTGACATGGACTGATCACTTTGTAATAGCTCCACTCCTTGCCAGTGCTCTCGATCGCGCCCTCCAGTTTTGGCAAATCTATGTGCCCGAAATACCCATAGATCCCTTGTCGGTCAGCACAGCGGAACACACGTATCTTTCATCCTGGCTGGCACGTATGCAAGAACTTCGGGAACTGTTGACTGTATATGAACAGTCTCAGACAGGCTATCATGACAACACGCGAATTCAGATCTTGAATATCGATATTTCAACGGCTCAGGCCACCTTGAACACTCTTCCTAAACCAGCAGTGCAACGGACACCAGACTCATTCACCTTGATTGCAATCTTTTCAGAGTTGAAAGCCTTTGAGACTCAATTCCTAGCCGGTGAACGAATTCCCAACCTCGTGAAAGAGATTCTGAGTGCTACTACGCAAGAGCATCTACGTACACTACAATCACGACTCGAAACTTTCTCGATCTCCGCGACTGGCCTACTCACCAGGTTGACCAATCGATTTCCTTCGTTCACTGATATTTTGCGACCTGTTCAAACCATCCTGAATATTATGATCATCAGCTTGCTCATGAAGCTTCGAGAAGTCACTATCGCATTCTTCAAGGAGTCTCTTGAACCTCTCGAAGATTTTATAACTCGACTATTGTCGTCAAGCTGTACAATCGCAAGTGCCAATATGCGTTCTGTGTCTTGTGACCCGAAGATGGACGATATTTTGAAACAGGAGACTAGTGCATCACATGTGCCAATCTTGCGCGTCGCCGCGGTTGCTTGTCAGGACAATGAGATCTTCAGCGCATCGGAACTCAAACTTCTCATCTCGGCTTACGATTCTATCTGGAAATTGTGGTCAATGGATCGCGCCAAGGAAGCACGTGAGGCTGAAGAACGAGCACAAGAGTTTAAATTTCGACGACAAGATGTGGTTGTGCTTTCCGATGAAGTGATCGAAGCGGAAGAGTTACAAACATTGTTCCCGACTTACGAAGATACTGATGCAACATCGACAGTCGAAGTGGAATCTTCCACTGTACATCATACGGTCAGCCCGATCCAAGTGGATATACTCTGTCAAATGCACATTTCGATCAACCGGACGAGCGACGGGGAATCTTACAGGATGAAATGGTTTGAGCAACTTCGAAAAGACCTAGCGATCGAGATAGCTGAGAAACATGGTCACCTACTCGCCAGTTGTGTTGATAAGACATCTTTAGCGTTCCAGGTTGATCATATCAACCGACTTCAAGCTTTCAGTGGAGCAGGTCCCGTTTCAAACTCACTTCATGATTTTTATCAAGATAGTAACGTTCCAGAAGCCATGCGAATCTTTGTTCCGTTGAAGTCGCTGGATTCAAGAGTCAAAGAGTTGTTTGAACAATGGCCTGAAATGATTGCATTGGACGAGATACAACAGCGATGTCAACAAATCTCACGACTGTCGTACAAGAGTCCCTTGGCCAAGATTCTTCCGTTTGTGGAGACTTTGATTGAACAAATCGAGAATTGGGAAAAGTATAGCTGCCGAGAGAACTCATTATCTTCTTATCAAGCCGTTTTTGCCGATTTTGTAGTCTCCTGGCGTAGATTGGAACTTTCTTCGTGGGCTGGTTTGATCGAGCGAGAGATGCGAACATTTGACTCGGCGACGAACGTTTGGTGGTTTCGTCTATATGAATTACTTTTCCGAGGGCTCTTAACCCATCAAATGAGTGAAGATGTTGAAGACAACGTAACTCGATATTTTGCCGATTCAGCTACTGTTTTGAATGAATTTATGTCCGAATGTAACTTGGGACAATTCAAGCCTCGACTCACTCTCCTTCGTTCATTCGCTTCGCTTTTATCTTCGTACTCGAAACTTATGAGTAGTGAAGATTGGCAAAGGATGTATGACCTAATTGAAGGTATCATTTTCTTCTACTCGCATTATGAGCTAGAAATCGCCACCCAGATCGATCAAGCTAAGACTGTCGCTCGCAAGGATATCGAGGATTACATACGTCTCGCCAGTTGGAAGGATGTCAATGTTTTTGCTTTGAAACAAAGTAGCCACAAGAGTCATCGACGACTTTATAAATCTGTTCATAGACTACGAGCGGCGCTTCAGAGACCTGTGAAGGATTCTCTCTCCACTTGGCACGTCAAAAAAGTAGTGTACTTAGAATCTGATCTTCCACCGATCATCAGCCAGTCTATTCCGTTTACTCAAGATGACGAGATCTCCGACATCGAAGGACTCGCCGCACCGCTACCAGCTCATCTCAAACAACCATCACTCGCACTCGACAGACTTAAAAAATTGATTGAACAGCGATTGTTTTCAAACGTGCAGTCGGAAGTCCCCGCCGAAGAAATAACAGAACTAGCCTCGCATATCAGATTGGTGATCAAGGAGCTCAGTGAAGAGGTTTTACCAAAAGGGGATGCGAGAGAGAAATATGCAAAAAATCTTGATCTTCGTAAAAGGAAAGCATTTGCACATCTTTTGAAGCGATTGAAGACGCTTGGATTAGGATCGTGTCCCACAGATCGAGTTCTTCAAAGGCTCAAGGATCCCGCTGTGATTTTTGGACAACCTTTACTGGCGTCAAAAAGTCTACCATGTATGATCAAGCTCTGTTCAGCAGTGGACGAAGGGCTTTATGGACTTCTAGGTCAAATGCCCAAGTTTCGACGATTCCGAAGTGGACACCATTCTGATATCAGTAATTCAGATATCCAACGGCTCATAGGATCTGTTGAGAGTGGTCTATCACTTATCATGAGTGACAGACAAGCCTTGTCATCACTCTTGTTGGCTGTCTCAGAGTTGGACAAGACTTGTTTACGGATGACAGATTTGTTAGCTTCTGGTTCAAGTCATTTCTCGGTTACATCCTCTTCGCCCTCAGATATTGTGCTTTCACATATCAAGGTTGTCAACCTTTTTGTTTCTGCCCTTCGTGAAACAACTCAATCTATCAAAATTCTCCGAAGCAACCAAAACGCTCAAGAAATTCCTATGGCTGTCACAAATCTACTGGACGAGTTGACCATATCTGCGTCTTGCGAAATCAACAATCTAGAGACGTTAATGCGATCGGCGAACTCACATATGTTGCTGTTCAAGCCTGATGAAGTAGAGCTACTCGAGCGCGTGCCTGTTGGTTTAACAAGGATTGTAGATCGTCTTCGTGCTTCGATCATGGAAGCTCCGGTATTATCATACTTACTCTCACCTCTAGTAGAAGACTTGTCTCGGCAGCTTTTGAGTCTATCAAACCACTTTTCTCAACCAACCGAAGAACAACATACCGTATGGGAGGCACATCGTAGCTTCGTTCACTCGGTCCTCTTAGTGGCTCAACAGTTGATGGCGCGAGATCCAAAGACTGAAGACGCCGAGCCTTCAGGAAAATTGAGAATTGGTGAAATCCGAAAAGGTCATTTCAATCTCTCAGGCTTTACAGCAAGATGCCATATCACAGATGTTATCGATAAACTTCGTGGATTCAATCAAGCTTTATCAAGTTCATATCCACAAAAGCTCGGGACTCGATTGCTTTCCACCGTTGCTGGTTTCACCCAGCAGTATCTGAACTTGTTGGCGAACCATGTCAAATATTGTCTACAATGGCATCAAGCAGAACTTGACTTACTGCAAACGGTGGTCAATATTGGAATCAATATTGGTGAGAATGGTTTTTGTAAACCTGACTTGAGTGAGGGAGAAGAAGAAGGTGCCCCCAATGGACCTTCAGCTGATGGGACAGGCCTGGGTGGTGGTCAAGGTGGAAAAGATGTGAGTGATGAGATCGAGTCGGATGAACAAATGGAAGGACTTCAGAATGATACCGATGAACAAGATCCTAATAAAGAAGAAGGAAAAGATAAAGAAGATCGAGGTGTTGAGACTCAGCTTGAATTTGATGCTCCTTTAGAGGATGTGGAAGAAGGAGATGAAGAGGACGGTTCGGATGATGAAACGGACGAGAAAGATGAAGAGGAGGGTGACGAGATTGAAGATGGGGTTGGGGAAGTAGACCCACTTGATTCAGGAGCGGTAGATGAAAAATTTTGGGAAGGTGAAGATGATGATGAAAAAGAATCGAAGGAAGAAAAAGAAGCTGAAATGAACGCAAAACAGAATCAAACTGCTCCGGAAGATTCAACACTCGCTGCCAAAGATAACCAAAAAGCTGGTGAACAAAACACTGAAGAAAAAAAAGAAGAGAATGAACATGACAAGGATGGTGAAGAAGGAGAACCGAATACTGATGAGGTAGATGAGAACTTAGAAAAGGAAGATGATGAAAACGCAGACCAATCTCAATCTGAAGATGAAATGGATCAAGGAGAAGAAGACCCGTCTAAGACCAATCCGGTACCTATGATGGACCATGTAGATAATTCGGAAACTCTAGAACTTCCTGATGATTTGAACTTGGATGACACAAAATCTGAGAATGATGAAAAAGTGGATGATGATGTGGAAGACGAAGGGATGGAACTTGATGAGCCTGGTAAGTCTTCCTCTCTGTTTTTTGTTATCTCCACACCGTCCTCTTTTTCAATGAATTGAGCCACTTTGATTGACCTACCACAGATGAAGAACCAATGCCCGGGCAGACTGGGAACGATGAGCCAGATGATCAGTCTGGTGAAGTCGAGCATTCTGAGCCAGCAGCCCCCTTAGATGCGACCGTTCCGGAGACAGATCCAGCAAATGCATTGGACTGTGGAGATGAATCGGGTGCTGGGACAGGTGGTGGCGGCACCAGTCATGCACCGCCTGAGGCTGCAACTGAGCCGCAGAGTAAACCTACACAGGATAAATCAAAGCCGGAAGAAGATTCCCAGGACGAAGCTATGTCTACTGAAAAAATCCCAGATGGTGAGCCTCAGAATGAGTCTGCTGAAACCAACGATCAGTCGGCGGCAGATGAAATCGGAACTGGTGAATCGGGAACTCAACCTATGCCTAAGACTTTGGATTCCAAATCAAACGAAGCAACACCTGAGGAGCAACAATCAGATCCAAATCCTTTGCGACAACTTGGAGATGCTATGGAAAACTGGATGCGTAGACTTCAGCACATTCAAGACAATGACTCTACAGAGCAAACCGACGACTCTAAGATGAAGGCCTGTGACGAAGCAATGGAGCTCGAATATCTTCAGGCAGATTCGGCCGAATCCGTGGATCAGCAAGCACCTGGTCCGGCAACTCAAGATCAAGCACAGGAAGCGTTGAATCAACTTCATATCGATGAGGTGCCTAACGAAAGCGAGATCATGCGCGTCGAGGATGAACAACGAATGCCTCCTTCCGTCGATTTTATGCAGCTTCCTGAGACTAACGCATTGCATGAGCTTGTTGAGCCTGCTCTGTCTGGCCCCACAGGTGGTACTCAAAAGCGCACAGACGAAGGGTTTGAACTGATGGATGAAGGTGGTACGGAAGATCAGCCCATGGCATTGAATGAAGATGACGACAAATCTATGGACGACCAAGAACCAGGACCCCGTGAAGAAGAGGAAGTCATAGAATCCGGTACATCAGCTCTTGACATATGGCGTCAATATGAACAAATCACTCGGAAGCCAGCCTCACAACTTACTGAACAACTTCGTCTGATCTTGGAGCCTACAACAGCCACTCGCCTGCAGGGAGATTATCGGACTGGAAAGCGCCTCAACATGAGGAAGTTGGTACCATACTTGGCCTCAGACTATACCAAAGATCGCATCTGGTTACGTAGAACCAAACCTGCCCAGCGTGATTACCAGATCTTGGTTGCGGTAGATGACTCTCGATCGATGGCTGACTCTAGGTCAGCTCACCTCGCATTGCAGACAGTGGCCCTCGTCACTGGAGCTCTTGCTAAACTAGAAGTTGGAGAAGTTGCTATAGCACGTTTTGGCGGTACCTTCAACATAATACAACCGTTCGGTTCAGGAGGATCTCGTCAAAATCACGGAACAAATATCATCAAAGGTTTTACATTTGCTCAACAAAAGACGGATGTTCGATTAGCAGTTGAACGAGCCATGAATATGTTTGAAACTGCTCGTAATCAAGGACCTAGTACAGTAGATGAGATTTGGCAATTAGGAATCATTGTTTCTGATGGGATATGTCAAGATCATGATCAAGTTCGAGCACTCTTAAGACAAGCAACTGAAAAGAAAATCATGTTTGTATTTGTGATCTTAGATTCATTACATCAACATGGTGAAAATGAAGGTGAAAATCAACAAACCTCTGTACCTGGAGCTTCTTCAATTATGTCTATGAATACAGTTTCATATGCACTGGGTCCTGACGGTAAAATGGAACTTCAAATGGAACGTTATCTTGACACGTTCCCCTTTGATTATTATATCATATTGTAAGTTTTCATTTATGTTTCTCCATAACTTGAACAATTTTCTTAAATGACATTCAAATCTTATTCTGATTCACGACTTTTCTCTGCTTGATCACCTTTCTGACAGGCGTGATGTCGAAGCTTTACCACATGTGTTGAGTGGCACACTAAGACAGTTTTTTGAAAAGGTACTTCTCTCGTCAATTCTCTTTACCTCTCTAAAGAGGTGTTATGTGTGATTATTGACATTTGAAATTACATTATAGGTCACGAGCCTTTGATTCAACTTGCGGGTGTTTATGTCACTTTTGTGATTGAGATTTCAACTTCGAATCTTTTTGTCTTATAGTTAGATTTTTGCTCGGTTATTTCTTTTTTTCTTTTAGACTCTGTAATGGGGATAGTTCACATGGATAAAAAAATGTAGATCATAATATTTTCGTCGTGGTGATATCGGCTTACTCGAGTCAGGTTATGTGTAATTGTTTCTCTTGTTGCGTTGGTGATCTGATAATACATGTTATGGTTTTGAAGATAGCACAATACCACTGAAAATTGTGAGGCTTGATGATGTGGAGAAAAGGCTTCAAAGAGCTAAATTGAAAACAGGCGGGAGACAAGACAATAACGGATAAAGTCCTAACCATACTTGATACTTTGAATATATTCTACACTCCAGCCAATTGATCGTTGATGTATATCCTGAAAAAGGGGCCTCGGCACTTCTGTAATCATGAGGCTTATCCGGGGTTTGTTCGATATCATCAGCACGAAATCAAATATGAGTATGATCAGCAATAGTCTCTTGAAGTTGAACTCACCAATATTGAGAGTGCAATATCAACCTAATTTCTCGCTTTCTCCTTCATAGCCAGCCCATTTGCTCAATTTGTCTACCACGTCCAGGATTCTAGTACCATAGAAAATGTGTGTATCAGGTTTAATGAATTCCCATCCTTTGATATTCGAAGTCGAATCATTCGCAGACTTTTCATTAGATTTAAACCGCTCAAGTGTAGTACCCCAAATAGTCCATTCTTTTTTAACAATACTATAAGAACCAACCGGTGAACCACAGTTCTTACAACGTAATTTGAATTTCCTACCAGGCATAGATTCATAAATATCTAATTTATCTGAAATACCTTCTTCTAAATGTTTAAAAGGAATCATAGTTGAATTTAACCATTTTAACGATTCTTGTTTCCAATGAGTTGTCCAAACAAATGGAGATCCATTTAAACGTTGACAGTTTGTACAATGACAATAAGCTGATAATGTTAAGTTTTCTGGAATGGTTTTGATTGAGTTCTCGCTAGTTTCTGAATCGATTGAGCTTTGAGCTTTGTTGGTGATATCTATGCTGAATTGAACGTTTTCACAGAAACATGAACCGCTTAGAGTTTGTAAGGTTGAAGAAGTCATCTTTGGTGTTTTGGATAAATCTTTAGAGGATTTGACAATCTGGATTGTGACGTGAACGGTGTAAGCATTGCTGAGAGTCAAGTGAAGTGAGGATGAATGACGTCAGGGTTGATCACATGTGAATCATGAACAGTCTCTTTCACATATCGCTCGGTCTCACTTCAAAAACTAACAATTTATATTCAGAATGCTCAGATTGCAATCACCCCTCATCAAGTTTATTTTTCCTAGGCAATTCAGCAGCACTCGAAGATGCCAATTGATACCAAGTCATTTTAGAAAATTACAAGACGCAAGATTGCAACAAAAAGAAAAGATGACAAAATCTTACATACAAGTCACAACAAAAGCAACACCTGAAAATTAAAACATCCTGGTGAAGACCAAGGAGTGATAGACGATAAAATGTGTGGAAATTGAAGGCCACAGGTCTCTGAAAAGATAGCCTTGAATACCACTAGACACTTCAACATCTGATATGACAAAAACCCCTAAGAACAAATCAATGACATAGATGAAACAAAATGTTTCACAATCAACTTTTTGCTTTGGATTACTATTCTAAGAATTGCAAGAGGGGGACAATAATGACAACCATCCTGATCCATGTTTTGCTCGAGTTTCAGGTGACAAGGGTGACAAATTTAACAATGCCAAGACAATAATGTCAACAGAGATCGAATTTGGCGGATCAGACGACCTTTATTCCTCCTTTCGGAAGTGTGATTTCAGTTCTGGATCTATTTGAGCGTCATCTCGCCAATTTCTCTTCTCACTACGTCTGCCGGGACATAAGACTATTGTGACTCAAATGAAAGGTGAAAAATAAATGGACGGAGGAACTGTGGAACTTTAAGGCATTTTGAAAGACTGCATGGTGATGAAGCCTCAATGGTATGAAGTACATATGAGAAGAGCCAGATTTGAAGAGAATTGAGTTTGATTTGTAGGCTCACCACTACAAAGAGTACAACATCAAGCCAGCTGCTCGCTGTCTCCCTCGTAGCCGACCCATCGGCCCAAATTATCCCTTATATCTAAGATTCTAGTGTCGTAAAAGATGTGCGCAGTTGGTTTAATCAAATCCCATCCTTTGATCAAAGTCGTATGTTGACTTGAAGTCAAATCAGTAGAGGTCGAATCGGATTTCGATCGTTCAAGTGTTGTACCCCAAATGCACCACTCTTTGTTAGCGATGCTATAAGAACCAACAGGCGAACCACATTTCTTGCAATGTAACTTAAATGCTTGACCAGGTGTCAATTCGTAAACTTGAACCGTATTAGGTAGTCCACTTTCGAGATGATCAAAAGGTACTATAGTTGAATTGATCCATTTGATCGCTTCATGTTTCCAATGAGTAGTCCAAACAAATGGAGCACCATTCCGACGTTGACAATTAGTGCAATGACAATAAGCCGATAAAATCAAGTTTTCGGGTTTAATTTCTGAAGCTGCTTTATGTTTCTTCTCGAGATCCGATTGATTTGTGTTTGAGGCTTCGTTAGAGAGATGGATGCTGAATTGAACGTGTTGACAGAAACATGAACCATTCAAGGTTTGTAAAGAACAAGAACTCATGTTTTGTGTTTTGGATGATAATCGATGGTGGACAGTCAATCAATTCGTTGCCTCTTGACCTCTCTTGACTCAGCCACGGGCAGCTGTGACGTCATAGGAATCAAAGCAGATCGCAGACCAGTGACACTTTCAAAGCGTATGTCACACTTGTAACATTGCCAGCACAGGACAGCTGGCAGTACCATGCTCCAGATTTCTCAAACCTTTTCCAGGCTCACTTTGTCCAGAAGTCAGTAAATACTTCTTGAAATCATGTTTTTTGGTGAATAAGAACAACATCCAAAAAGATTCTTATACGATTATCAGTTTGCTCCGTTCTGTTTTGTTTGTATCAACAATCCTACGGGTTTGGAAAGTTCACTCAACAAATCCGAGCACGCCGCCTAAAATAAATAGGCCATCTGCAAGCAATCATTTGGTGCACGGCTTGCGTATGGAGCAGGGAGGTTGTCACAGCAGGAATTGCTCCACAATTTCACGATCCGCAAACAAGCTAACCCCATTGAAAATCAAAACTTTGAGATGATAATTTCAGCATGAAACCTCTCCTCTCATTTCTCTCAACTAACTATGCATACCTATACCTGTCAGACAAGCTGATATGGGTGTGATAAAATACACTTATTTTTGTAGCATTATTGTCAATTGGTATGGGTTTCCGACCAAAAATAATGAGTGGATAAAAAAAGGAACGCTGAAGTGGATATTAAGAAAAAAGAGTACTTCAATAGAAACAATGATGGTATGATTATTCTACATATTTCATGTTTGAATTTTGTGCAATCAAATAGCAGGCAAAGACTAAGACTGGAGTGAGATGAGGATTCAAGAAATGATATTTTGAATGTACGTATAGGGATCTGAAAAAAAAAGATACACACTGACAATAGAAATAGCGTTAGTTTGAACTTTGAAGACGAAAAATAGGATTCTTACTCGGAAATATGGTCTGAAATACTCTCGTGTTGACTTTAGGTCAGGCTGAAATGACTTGAATTCGACATCTTAAGGCTCATGGCTTTTCATGAACTGCCATTGGCTGATGAAGATGACTGTGTTGTTCAAGAGTTGAATCAAATCTTCTAATCAAGGAGTCGTGAACTGACAAGTATCAACAAGCATCGAGTTGAGCCGTATCATTCAAATCAGAATCGTCAAGATCTTCACTATCAAGTTGCCGCTACCGCAATTAATCCTCTGCTTTCTAATGAGCGCATACTTTTACACAAACACTCGAATATGTCTAGAAACACAATAATTGTCAATTGGTGAGATTTCTTCTCGAATGTTTCCACTTGACATGAGAATGTAGTAAGTGTTTCGTATATGTATGGCTCAAGACAAGTTTGAGTGAGATTGAGGATTTATGTGGTTTGAGTTTGACTATCTGATCACCGAGACCGAGGTGTCTGAACTCAGACTGACCAACCAACAGTCAAGAACCTTTTAAACCTTTTGGAACCTTTGATTTCCTTTTTTGGTTCTCCTAACCAATACATTAATTCTCTTTTCTCTCACTCCTTATCACCAAGCTTGAACCATCCAATCCATCATCATCATCATCATCATCATCATCATCATCATCGTCATAGCAATCCCATTCTCAATCTCAAGCCTCAAAACTCCAGAATGGTAAGTTCTCCTTTTTCATGCAGCAATCGATTACCTTTTATCACAATGATCCTGATGGCTCATTTCTTCTATTGAATCAATTCCAGTCTACAGCGTCTAGAAGAAGATTGATTCGTGATTTCAAACGCCTTTCATCAGATCCTCCAGGAGGAATTAGTGGTGCACCATGTCCCGACAATATTATGATTTGGAATGCTGTTATCTTTGGTCCGGGTGCGCGCTTCAAGATTCATTTCAAAATCAAAGATTCCCCCTACATACTCTATCGAATCTCATACCACTCGGTTGAGTATTCATCTCAAAGACGATATACTTGAGAATACCATCAAAGCTTGGTGATCAACTGAAGTGCTCCGTATTGACTATCAATCCCTTTTTTCATATCATAGCCGATACGCCATTTGAAGATGGTACCTTCCGACTTATACTTACTTTTGATGAATCTTATCCGAACAAACGTAAGTTCAATCGCCTTCTACATAACCCAAATTGATAAAATCTTCAAGAATAAGACTCAAAGATTCTGATCGGTTCATAACTTATTCTTTTATATTCCTTTTGTTTTGTTTGAGAAAAAATCAGCTCCGACAGTGAAATTCTTGTCCAAGATGTTTCATCCAAACGTTTACGCCAATGGAGAACTTTGTTTAGATATTCTACAAAACCGTTGGTCACCAACTTATGATGTTGCAGCAATCTTAACATCTGTTCAATCACTGTTACATGACCCTAATCCAAATTCGTATGTCAAAACCTTTCTTCTCAAAAACTTATTGAAAACTACAAGTTAAAAGAAGATGTTTTGTTTGCCTGTGTTTGTTTGGGTTTTATTAGGCCTGCCAATTCTGAAGCAGCTAATCTTTATCGTGATAATATGAAGGATTATATTAAAAAGGTTCGAGCAACAGTAGAAGCGAGTTGGGTAGACGAAGGTGCATTAGCTGGTCCAGCTGGTTCTTCTTCTTCATGAAATTCTCTTGTTACATCATGTATATTGTCTTCTTCTTCTTCTAGTTCTCTTATCTTGTTTTTCTTTCCCTTTTTTCGATCCTCATCTTCATCTTCTTCTTCAACAAACTTGTTGTTTTCAATTTTTTCCTCCTTTACCTGATCTGTATGATGATGTATAATGAAGTAGAGTAAATCTGTTTCAGGATTAGGTATTGGAGTTTTCTTTAAGGATTTGATTGAGAGATATTTACAAAAAGATTGAAATCATTCTTTATATTTCTCATGATATGTGCGATCAATTTACTCTTGATTCATGTCTTTTCAATGTGTGTGTCTTCCTTTTTTCTCACTTTGCATCTCTTCTGTTGAATGTTTTGAATCTATTTCATGTACATGATTCAATTTTATGCATTTATATATGATTTGGAGCTCATTCTTGTTATGAGATCTGATAACAGATTCATCATACCCTCAACCTCATTCGAGTACCTCATCCGCGGTACAGAAAACTCAGAACTAGATGGGTAATCTTTTGAGATCACCATCAGGTGTGTTTGTTAAGATAAACTCTATGCAACACAATACAGCTCTGTTAGTCAGACTTCACAGGACCCCGGTATGCTCCTATGAAGGGTACAGATCTAGAATTGTGACTTTTGAGCTCGCGCGGAGATACGACATATGGGATTAAACAGCTTTCTCTTGGATTTTACCGGTTTCTGCCTGAATTTCAGAGTTGCTAAGTCCAATACAGCTGATTAAAAAGACTAAACCTGTCTTAAAGCTATGGGTAAAGCCAGGGACAAGTTTCCGAGCGAGCTCAAAAGTCACATTTTTGGATCTGTACCCCTTATAAGAGCATACCGGGGTCCTGACTTCACATCAATGCAAAAGAACCTTACCGGCCTCACTGCTCACCATTCCTACGGTGCTGGTCAGATGAAAGTGTGCTACACATCAGGTTTCATCATTTTGTTCATTTGCTGAAAATCTATTCAAAGTTGATGATTTCAGTTTCAAGTAAATTCAATAATTATTTTTTGTACACTGCGTACAGAATTGACTCTCAACTTAATAGAATGTATAACTCATTCTGATTAATGGTATATCCAAGAAAGATAATTGATTCCCCAAAACCAAAGTTCCTCATTAGATCTTATAAACTTGTGAACCTGACCCCCTAAAGACTCATCATGTGAACTGGGTGGGTCAAGCTCCTTTTCAGACTTTATGGGAGATCAGGTCCTCATACCAATTGATATCTTGTTTCTTTTCCTTCAAATCCCAAGAGGAAGCAGCACTACGGGCCCGGCGGACTGTGCCTGTCTTTTGTTTGCTCGTGAACACATGCACACAACTTTCATTGTGGCCTCAAATGTAGCTAGCGTGCGCTTCTCAATGAGCACCCACCACACAAATGCAGTGGTATGGGCTACAGGGTTCTACCCGCTTTCTTCCGCGCAAGAGTGTGGAACGGAAACTGTATGGGAAAGTCAGGGTATGGTAGTATGAGTAGTATATGGGGAAAGAGCAGAGTCACTAGAAGCAAGGAGTACTCCATGGTAAAGATCAAAAGGAACAAAAGAGTGTAAAACAATCATGAAATATGCTGGATCTGACAGTGGACTAGAAAGGAAAGGATTATTCAGAGAGGGTAGGTCTTACTCTTAGGAAAGGACATAAATTTAATCCTTTTAGTAACACGCTGAGCAAATCAAAACAGCAGGTCAGCAAGGAAGTCAAAATCAAAAGAAGTATGTCTGGTTGAGGAATTGGTTAATATCTCTTCCTCTTCTGGATCATGTAAGCATATGGTATGCTTCCTAGTTGGTAAAAAATTTGAGATGCGCATGGTACACCAAAGAAGATACAGCCAATTTGAGGATGAATGATTTTTTTAAAATTTGCAACGTGGTGCAAGGACATCAGCAAGTAATCTGTGTGAAGCCTTATGGAAAGGATCGACAGAGAGATATCATGGATGGTGCAGTAGATGAGCTTATATGAAGCCTGTTCAGGCAGTGAGCCTTGACCTCTGCACTTCACGCTCACTTGAGATGAACCAATTATGAAGTTTGAATCTCATGTCAAACTGGTTGTGTGTCAAGTTTCTCTGCACTTGAGGTTGGCTTTGAAGTGGCTCAGGCCAAATTTAAAGCACCAGAAAATTGGAGTATACATTGCTTGGCACGCTTCATAGTCAGAAATTGCTAGCTCAATAGTCAACACAACCACTCTCAACACGGGCGGACCCTGAGCTAGTCAGAGGAGGAGGATGACAGTCAGTTTGATTTTGACAGAAATTGGGCCTTCTTTCATCTTCATGGACTTTAAAATTTCATCTCAAATATTTCAAATTTGTAGTTCCCATCTTTTGAAACACACTTCTTTGCTTCATGCACCTACGTACAAATACAATCATTTTAATGTACAAGGGCGTACTCTTTTTTAAATATCTTGATGATACTAGACTCACGCGTGTATAGAATCTTTCACCGCTCCTTTTCTTAGATAGAAAAAATCCGTAAAACCAATTCAATCTCAATATAAACACATGATGTTCTTAAAAAAACCTAGAGACAAAGGAGGTTTTTTTGAAAAAGAAAGCAGAAAGATAAAATGATTTTTCCATGAAGAGAGATAGAGTGATACGTTATTTAAGCTTTGATCGAGTTACAAGACCAGGTAAGAGTTAAAGATTAAGTGTTGATTGTTAACTGAAATAAAATTGGATGGCAAAAAAAGGTAGAGATAAGTTTGATGTGTGTGTTGAGGAGAAAAAGAGAACTACGTGAATACATATTTTGAAAGAGAACCTACATAAACTTCGGGAGGAGCCAACCCATTGCGAAATCACGATTGGACTTTAAGTTTGAAAAGAACCCTCAGGCTCCCGGCTCTTTACCTTTTAAACACACCACTCTTTGAATATCCCAAATTATTCAATTACTCTCCACCTCTCTCGACTGTGGATGTTTCTGTGTTTACACTTTGCACAGCCATGAAGTCTAGGGATATGGTTGACCCCCAAATAGCAAAATTACTGAATATGAAAGAATCAAATTAAATATCGGCAGTATTTTGACCGGAACGCCAAGGTAGCGCTTGTCATTGTGAAATCCGGCTATCTGGATTCGGGCGGATGACTGGGTAAGTATGACAATTCATGATGATGTTCAAACACCGGTGTGTTCAAATAGAATTTCAGACAGTTTTATTCAAAAGTTGATGATTGTCAAACTTGTCGTACGGAAATGAAAAGGTGGAAAGAAATTTCACTCTTTGGCTTATAGCCTCACCACCAGGTTATTTGCGCACCAATGTACAGTTGTTTGCAAAAAGCTTGCCGCAAATTCACCGCCAAATTGCTCAAGTTTTGCGGGCAAATTTGGGCAAGCTTTTTGAAAAAGACTGTATTTGCACGCCAACGATGGCGATGCTCTTAGTCAAGCTCACTCTTGAGCTAGAGCATGAAGTTTGATGTTATGTAAATTTTGAATTTCTGTTGGGCGGTCAAATTATGATTTTGAAGATATCAGGGAATCAGGGGGATATCATTGTTTGATTAGATGCAAATGTTCAATGAAGGGCGTGTTTTCAAAATCAAAGTGGTGTCAGTGAATGATGAGTTGAAGTTGAACCATCGGATTCATTGAGAGTGGTCCAAAACTGAACTTAACTAAGTACATACACATAATCGAAGAAAGTCACCCAAATGTGGATTGAACTGATATAAACACAAAATTGGAGATCCCGTTCGTCAAATTAATTGCCAAGAAAAGGAAACTTGCTCGAATTTCTTTAATCACACATCCACGAACTCAAACGATATTCTCACTATTGCTTCATTCTCAACATCACTTGGATACAAATCAACCTACAAGCCAAACCTGGCATTCATCAAATCAATCTTTCACTTCAACTCATCATCATCATCTTTCTCACTTTTCATCATTCTTAAATCTCATCTTCATCATGTACGGTCGAAAACAATCCATGGATTCTCAAGCTAGACCATTAGGAAAAGTCGATTATTCTCAAGCAGATGATGATCCACATGATCAAGCTTTTAATTCTTCTAATCCTAATTTACAGCATGAAGTTTTTACCAATGAAAAACAGAAGAAGAAGAAAAAATCAAGTTGGCTCAAGTTTGGTATGCCTTTAGCTGTCATCGCTATCATTATCGCTGCTGTTCTTGGTGGTGTACTGGGATCCCATCATTCTAGTTCTTCTACTCATTCAGCTGCTGCAGCATCGGGTGCCGCAACTGGTGCTGGTGCTAATGCTGGTAAAGATGCAAGTCAAGTTCTCTTTACCGGTTATAATGCATATGGTGTACCTCAATATCCTTTATCAGCTCATACAGCCTATAATAGTGCTCCATCACTTTCTTCAAATGAAAACTTAGGATGGGGTCAAGATCCTAATTCACCTGATCCATCATCTCAATCTATACGTTCAGATCGACCAAGATTATTTGCTTCAACTTATAGATGGAATCGTTTACCATCACTTATCAAAATCGATCCTTATCTAGCTGCTTGGAATTCTACTATCTTTTCAAACGCGACTGCATTTTATAATTTACCTCCTACAAATTATTCAATCGATGGTGGTTATTCTGGTTCTGGTGTACTTGATGTTGGTCGTGAAGTACAATTAAGACTTAAACATTGGGCTTATGCTTATCGAATGAGTAATGATACTAAATGGGTGGATCGTGCTTGGAGAGAATTACAAACTGCTGCTGGAAATACTACTCAACCCTTTGGTAGAGCTGGTAATAATTGGAATACTGAGTTCGTAACTTTTTTGTTCATATCTTGCGGTTCTCGATGCTCTACATAACTCGCTACCTGGTCTGACGTTTTATGACGGTTCTCTTCTCTATTCGATCATCAAGTCATTGGTTGGATGTCGCCGAGTTCACCGTTGGTTTTTCAATTGCGTATGATTGGATGTACGAGGCCTGGACAGCTGATCAAAGTAAGCCAATGGTTTTTAGATTCCTCTTTACCATTCAAATCACTGACGAGCGATTTCAAATTGGTCAGGAACTGCAATCATGTGGTCTATCATCAATCTGGGACTTCAGAAAGGTATCGAGTCACACTCTACCAATGCTTGGTTCTTGACTACCAACGGCAATTGGAATTGTGTCACCAATGGTGGAATGGTTATCGGTTCGCTCGCTGTCATGAACGATGACCCTACTGGTACCGCTGCCAAACTGTTACCACTTGCTCTTCAGTCTGCCTCCACCAATTGTGTCAATGCTGTTTCTCCTGACGGGACTTGGAGTGAGACATCCGATTACTGGTGAGCCCGCAGAAATGCTTCTCTGTGTCATTCAGCCTCCTAACTCATGACTGATTGACCAACTTTTTTTGTAAATCAGGTACTTTGGATCTCAAGGTCATGCTCAGATGGCTTCAGCTCTCTTGACCGCTACCGGTTCTACTCAGCAACTTCTCTCGGCTAATCCGGCATTCAATCTCAGTGGGCTTTACCACATGTATGTCTACGGTAACACCTGTCAGTTCAATTATTTTATCCTTCCGTGCCGTATGATAGTCACTTAGGCCCGCTGCATTCAACTTTGATCCTTTGATGACTAACAGACAAAGCCAACACTGGTGACTGTGGACCAAATAAGTTTACCGCATCAGCCAATCCCCTCTTGTTCTATGGTGATCAATTTGGAGGTTAGTGAGATGATTTCTCACTGTTTTCCCGCGTTTGGTTCCTCATGACCGTTTCTTTTGAACAGTTCCTCGTTATACACTCTACCAGCGTGATCGAGCCGACTCTCCAGACCCACTTAGTATGTTCTGGTACAATCCTCAAGTCACTGGAGGATGGTATGTGGGCCTACCCCTTGACCACAGTTTCAGTGACCCAAGTGATGCATGGGTATCGATGCGCTCCTCATGGACAGATACCACTGGGTTGTTTGTGTCTGCTAAATCTGGAAACCTTACTGGGCATCAGACCCATGGTTTCTTAGACGCTGGAACTTTCACACTTGACGCGCTTGGTGAACGATGGGCTGGTCATTTATGTCAGAACGATTATCTCGGAGACGGTTATTTCTCATCGGAAGGTGCAGCGAGTAAACGTTGGCTATACTACAGGTGTCGTACTGAAGGTCAAAATACGATTCTGATGAATGGTATGAACCAGAGTCCAGGTTCGGTCAGTACGGTTTCCAAGTTTGAAAGTACTGGGGAGTCTCAAGATAATATCAATTTCAACATCAACTCGGGTCAATCGACTGCTTATTGGATCACTGATCTCAGTACTGCTTATAATGGGACATCTGTTTTGAGAGGTGTAAGACTGTTGAATGGAAGAACACAAGTCTTGATACAAGATGAGATTACTGGTGCAACTGGCCCTTCTCAATGGCGTATGCACACCAACGCAACCACCACGTATCCAACTGATGGCAAAACAGCTCGTGAGTTTTGCTGCTATAAGCAAGGTGGATTTGATCAACAGACTGACTTTGTGAAATCAACTGCATCGTTTTAGATCTTGATTTAAATGGAAAGACCATGATAGCCACCATTCAATCACCTGCCGATGCGAAATTTACCACGGCACAACCTGTTCGACTTGCAACTTCTCCTCCATTACCATCTGGATCACCTGATTTACCTAATCCTGGTGTTTCAGTCTTAACGATTGATATTCCGACTGGAAGTGCAACTGTGATCGTCTTATTTACACCTCAATGGTCCACTAAAGGATATCAAGCTAATTCGAATCCTAATACTGTACCATTGACATCTTGGAGTTTAACTTCACATTAAAGTTTTTTATATTTCCCTTTTAATTTGATTTAACCTACCTTTGGTTCTAGAGGTTTATTCTTCTAGTAGTTCAGGAAATGATGTATATCTACACATAAATATACATATAGATCTATATAATATGTATGTTTCTTTTTCTCTTTCTGCTTTTGTCAAGCATCAATAAAGTTTTCTCTATTACTCTTCTCTCTTCTCTTTAACAAACAGATCAACTTTTCTCTTTATCATCCTTTTCTTCTAAGTCTATCTCAATCAAATTCTCACTCTTCAAAAAACAGTTTGTTTTTATCTTTTACTCTTATCTCGTCTTAACCTCCTCTATCCAAAGCTTATTCAATTTCTCTCACTATCTTCATAGACATATCAATCTTATCTTTCTCTACCTTTTTTTAAAGTATTGATGTGTCCTTTTTTTGTAGGGTAGATTTTAAAAGAATTAGAACCAGTATCTTTTTTTCTCTTATCTCTTTACCTTTTATTGATTATGATTTATTTTTTAAAGTGAAATTGAATTAGTCTTATGGATGCTTCTTCTTTTACAAAATTCATGTTTTTGAAAAGTTGAACCCCTTTTGAAATGTCTTGCACAATTACACCCTGGAAGTGACTTCTCAGCCTGATCCAGATAATTTTTTCAGAGGATTGATTGGTGATTGCATTGGGTTTCTTAATAGGGCTATGATGAGAGGTGTAGAGCTACTTGATCTGGTGTTATCATTTTCTTGATGTGGGCAACCATGCTATGAGCAATGGTGGCTTGGCTAAGCTATGTTAATTCTGAGTGGTGCCTTAGCTCAGCAATTTTGTGCTTCTAAGATAGCACATAATCTTCAGCATGGATATGTACAGCTAAGCTAAGGCCTTTAACTGACCAGGTCCTGCAGTTAGTGGTATTGTGGGCCATAATAGCAAGGGACAATAGCCCTGCTGTTGGTCTAGCTTAAAAAGAGCCCCATGAACCACATGCATCCCCTGGAGCTTGCAGAGGGGGGCTTGTCCCATACCGGCAAATTTGGCCCAATACCCAATCAAGTTTTGCTGGGGTTATCTCCAGTCACCAAACTCAACCTCTCAGACAAAACAAACCTCCCAATACCCTCTTATGGAAGCTGTGAAGACAATTCTTTTTTATCTTTTGCTCTCTTCAGCAACTCTATAGCTCTTCTGGAGCATGTGTAATTCAATATCTTAGCATGCATAGCTCTAGTCCAATATAACTCTGATTCACCTTTGTAATTCATTATATTACAACCTATCTTTTTAGCACACAAACCCTAGACTTCTCTTCCTGGTGGTCATCATGTGCTAAGAAGATTGGTTCTAGATGAACAGTCACTGAGTTGGGTTCCGTTGATTAAAGTAGGATTACACATGTTTATTAGCAATATCTACACCAGCCACCCACACCGCCAACATAGATGCCTTGAATTGAAAAATATGAGGCATCATTGGATATAAACTCTCAGACAATCTTGTCTGAGGTTTTGATCTGAGATATCTTTTGGTGCAAAAAAACACCTCGGATCAAAACCTTGGAAAGATTCTGTCTGAGGTTTTCAATCCAATGATACCTCAAATTTTTCAATCCAAGGCATCCATGTTGGCTGTGCTGCCTGGGGTACTCTGATTGAGTACCAATATACATGAGTTACAGTTAGAGTACAATACTAAGACTGTGACTGAGGTTTGAGTACGCCCTGAATACAGGACTCGCTATGGCCTTGTCTGCAAGTATTGGCACGGTAAAGGACTTGCCAAGTGAGTAGACACACATTACAATCTATTCACTCCGTGTTGGCACATCACAAGGACTCATTACTCAAGAGTCCCCTCACTTGGTAGGGGACTTGTGTGGGATGGGACATGACTCACAAATATAACAACAAGAATTACTTGAGGTGTTGTTGTCAGCCCTGAGCCCTGATTACAGGACCACAGGCTAACAGTACCATATGTACTACTAAAATATAGGCTCAGTGTCAACAGCCACTTAAACACATGTATGTAATTAGGGGATTTCAAAACCCAAGTTTTTTTCAGTTTCCCAGTTTCACAAGTCACCCTTTTTGGCTGTAGTTGCAAAACTGGGAAACTGGGAACAAAGACTCAGGTTTGAACCCATGAGCCAACAGATTCGGCACTGATTTCTGTTTTGATCTCTGAACTAAACAACAGTTTGGTCACACCTCATACCTCACACCTCATACCACACATCCTCACACATTGCATTCCCATTCAACAACAACAACCCTTGACTTGTCACCTCCAATCATCAAGTTTATGACTGCTGTTAATTAGCCTGTCTCAAATGGGAACAACCAAGGCTTTCAAAACAAAACCAAAACTGAAACTGTAGCATATTCAACAGCAGTCACACTCATTTCAGAACTTTAAAAACCATCAGAACAACTGATTAAACCACATGAATTGGTTGAACTTATTGAAAATTTCCAAGTGTCTTGGAATACCCTTACTTTAACCTGTGATGAGGATCTGGTAAAGATAGTTATATATATGTGTTAGATAGACGGTAACAGCTCCTAGCTCTTAGGAAGACTTGCTGACCTGTGATGTGGTTCAGCAATGTCAGAAAAGAGGACGTAGGAGTTCAAAAGAAAATGAGGAAGATGAGCTCAAGTGGTCTTATGGATAACTGAGAACAAAAGATTAAAATATAACATTTAATGGGCAGATAGTCATTATATGATTATAGATCATAAAAGTCAATAGGTACTTACTTTCTCATTTCAAAATCAAGGGAAAGAGAAAGTAAATTTGGTAAATACAAGTTTTACTATAAAAGAGATTTCTTGATCAAAGGCATGTGAAAAGATTGATTTGGTTGGGGTTTTCTCTTGTAAATCCTTTTCATCATTTGTCTATTCCAATTACTTGATTTTAACCTTTTCCTAATGTCTTCTTCTATCTTAATTCTTAACTACATTTTTGATTCAAATTTTAACACTAAGTCAATTGTACACCAACACTTTTGGATTTTGATCTAACAGAAACCACCATCTCTAAACAAACTGACCACTTGGACTTTGAGTTTTGTTCAAGAATAAACAATACTTATTGATGAAACAATCACATGAACTATCAAAATGTTTGCCACTTCAGAGATATAATGTCTAGCGAATGATTAAAAACAATTTCTGACCCAAAAGTGACTGCCTTGAAAATTGCTGTCTAATACCAGATTGATCTCTAACAATCACAAACTGAGAACATGATTGTGAAAAGACAAAATGAAAAAGTTTGAGTGATGATCTTTCAAATCTAATTGATTTATTTGAATTCAGACCAAAGTGAGTTTTGCTTGGAGGAAGATCTGGAAAAATAATTGAGTCAGGTGGTGTATCTGAAGACATTGTTGAAGTATAGTGTAATACCTGTTACGTTTCATTTTCATTACATGACTGATATTAACTATATGTCTTATATTTCATATCTCATTTACTCTCATTATCACATTATGTAGCTTGTTTCACGTGTCATACCATATGTATAACTTGTCATCATAATTAACCTAAGTACCGCTAAGAAGTTTAATGACAAACCTCGAAGAGCATCGAAGATGAGTCTCCCTTCTTCATCCAAGATATTCTAATCATTCTTGGGTGTGAAGGTGAGTTAACTCTGATTTGAGGGAACTTTGATAGTTCATAGGTTTTGTTCTGAACCTTATCATTCCCTGCTCTGACAGTTTCAACAGGTTATGAGCCCAGCGTTCTGAAACGTCTGCGGTCTCCTCTTTCCATCACATCTGTCAGTTCAGTACAGAACTCTATCGAACTTTCAACTTCCCCGGATTAGATTAACATAGTCTAGTCGAATGAATCCCATCGACGCCACAGACGCCAAATCAGAACTGAAACCTGAATCAACTAATTCAAAAATCCCCCGATCTGAACTTACCTCGCCTTCCGATACCAAAAACTCTATAAAATTCCCAACTATCGATCAAAAATTAAAAATGACATCTGATCTTAAAGAGTTCTCAACTAGCAACTACTCTAATGTCACTAAGCTTTCGACCGGAACTTTTAATGACTGGAAACTTAAGCTTACCACCATATTAGGAGGACAGAGACTATCTAAATATATACTCAAAGATTTGAAAGCCCCAGATGAATCAGATGAAGCTGCAGTTGATGGATTCGAAACCAATTCGAGTAGAGCTCTCGCTGCCATTCATGCAACAATCGATGCAGAAAACTTTCAGGTCATTCGGACGTGCTCGTCTCCCAGAGCAGCTTTCCAACTCCTGTGTACACATCACGATGACGCCGGAGGACTATCAACTGCTCACTTGTTTTCCGATATCATCTCCCTTAAAATGTCCCCTGGTGATAACTTATCTGATCATATTCATGCTTTTAGAAAACTTCATAATGATCTACTTAGTAACTTATCATCGTCCCCAGATAATAAGATTTCCGAACCCTTTTTCGCTATTATTCTTATCAAATCTCTTCCACCTGATTTCACGCCATTAGTTCAAAGTCTTTTAACCAACTTTGAGACGCTGACCTTGGCTAGACTCTATTCACTGCTCAAGATAGAGGCTACTCGTAATGCATCATCTACTCCAACTGACAATGCTCTTGCTGCTGGCCGAAGTCGACCGAACACCAGAACACGACCCGGACAACGAAAGTACACATCAACTAATCAGTCCAATCAAACCAATCAGTCCACTGTTCAATGCTCATTAGGTCACCCTGGTCACACGGACGAGCAGTGTTGAACGAGGCGATGGCGTGCTTTCTTAGAACATGAGAAGAATTCAAAGTCTAATCAAGCCAACTCCACCCATGTCACTCAGCAATCTTCACCATCTGCGAAAGAAGATGAAAGCGTATCGTACTGGGAGGAGGCTTTCTCGGCCACGACTTCAACCACAAACCCTATCATCTGTGACACCGGAGCCACCAGCCATATGTTCTCCGACCTATTGCTCCTATCTGATCTACAACACATCAAACCCACCCGGATTGGAGTGGCATCTCAGGACGGAGCCATATGGGCAAAGAGTAAAGGGACTGTCAGGTTTGAAACGCTCACTCTCAGAGACGTATTGTATTCTCCAAAGTTGACTGGTAACTTGATTTCTATTGGTCGACTATGCAATGACGGTTTTCGGGCATCTTTCGACAAAAACATCGGCATCATCACTGATCAAAAAGGCCAGATAGTTCTCAAGATGCGTCGCAATCCTCAAACGCATCGACTATGGACGCCTCAGCTTAACATCATATCGACCAATGCATTTTTCTCATACACCGATCCTGAGAAACTGGCTGGGTTGTGGCATAAGCGTCTAGGTCACTTACACCCTGATGCAGTAATTTCATTTCTTCGTCGACACAAATCAATCTCATTGTCTCGAAAAGATTTCATTCAGTGTGATGCTTGCGCAATGGGCAAACTCACCCAATCTCCTTCCACGTCTCCCTTTCATCGATCACCAGATTTGCTTAACGTTGTACATAGCGATCTCTTGGGTCCTATTTCTCCATCTACAAAATCAGGTTATAAATACATAGTGACTTTTATTGATGATCACACTCGATTTTGCTCTATTTACTTGTTGAAATCAAACAGTGAGACTTTTGAGACCTTTA